TCATATGCTGTATTTACAGATTTTTTTAAAATGGCTCTTTTTAATGGAAGCGCAAGGAACTAGATATTTTCCAGCCAGAGCCACCATTCACCTTCATTGTGAGTAACAGTGCTATGTGCTGTCATGCTGATGAATCCTACACTGGAAATGTTCGAACAAATATATAAACCTTTCAGAATTCTCTTGAACTTGTGTTCTTTCACCTTCAAATCCTTTATATTTAATTATGTGTTGATTTAATCACCCACACAGTTTCTGTCATATACAAGTCATATTACAGTTTGCAGTTATTGAACCTGAAATTCAAAAACATTTAACAGTATTGTGGTTCAGCGGTTTTTGACTAAAATCAGTTGAACTCAGTCATCCCATTCGTCATCATCATCATCTTCATCTCCACCCTCATCTTCACTTTCATCTGAAAGAGAGGACACATATAAAGATATGAGACTCTTTTTTTGTGACCCTTCTGGGTAAACTCGCCCTTCATGTAGAGTGTAGTTAATGTTCTAATATTTACCAGAGGAATGGATGACTTTACTCCTCTTCTGCATGACCATCATGAGAGCACCAACGATGCCCTCACCTGAGTCTGATGGTGCAGGTGGAGCTTGATCAGGACTGTCTGTTACCTGTAGCACATACCAAGACAAAAGGACAGCATTTGAACATGAAATCTGGTGGTGATGGGCAGTGGATAAGTCACATTCCTTTGGTGTGAGAGACTTGGGTTCAATTCCCAACTGTGACACATTCACCAATGTGTCACTCAGCAAGACTCTTAACCCCTAATTGACCTCTGCCATATTTAGCAATTGTAAATCACTTTGAATAAATGTAATCTGATGTAATCTCAGTTGCCTGACAACAAAAACACCAAGACTTGTGTACTAATATATGGCATGTCTGAAATGTTTTTGAGAAAATAAAGCTTTACATTTTTGAGCTTCTTCCCCAGTCTGATCTGATCCAGCAGAGCTCCTCTGCTGTCTCCTCCTCCAAAGGATGGAGCAGCAGGTGATGGTGGGCCGCAGGAGAGATTAGGAGGTGGTGGGAAATCTGAAGAAATAGAGGTTTGGGGAGGGGGAGGTGGAGGGGGTGGAGGAGGAGGTGGAGGGCCTCCCCCCACCTCCTCTGCTTGGTGTAGATGGGACAGGAGGAGGTGGGAAACCCACAGATCGCTGTTGGCTAGATGGTGGCAGGTTGTGGGAGGAGGTCGGGGGTGGGACATGAGAGGACTTTGAGGATGGGGGTGTGGGGAAAGATGCAGAGTGTGCTGGTGGGGGTGGCGGTGGAGGACCACTCCTGCTTGTTGGAGGAGGTGGGGGTGGCACGCCTGCACGTGTTGGTGGCTGATTTGGGGATAGGCTCCCTCGCTGTGACTGGCCTGTTTGGCCTGGGATGGGAGGAAGGGGGCCAGAGCGGCCTCGTGGAGGTGGAGGGTTCGGAGCAGAAGGACTAGAGCCTGGCACAGGAGGCAGAGGTCCTTGTCTGCCAGGTGGAGGTGGTGGAGGTCCAGAACCTATAATGCAATGGAACAAGATATGCATAACCAATTCAGCCCACACTTTAGACAAATACATTATCCTGCGGGGAGCAGTGACATTAATAAGGAGGAATAAAATGATGCAGTGTGAGTCTAACCTGCTCTGTTCACCTCCCTTTTGACCGCCTCCATGCCTCCAGACTGCTCGATGACATTATAGATGAGCTGCGAGGTCTTTTCATCCCTCATCTCAGCTTCACTGATGCCAGCTTGGGAGAGCAGCTTCCACAGGTCAGGGTCAATGTTATTGGGATCCCAGCCGACATGAGAAACATGCCTGACAGGAAGGAAACGAAAGGAGACAGTGTGATTGGAAAACAACATCCTCTCTAGATATTAACTAAACTTTACTGCCTGATATCAAGGCAACACTTTCACTGGCACAAACACTCACTTAAATCCACTGGGTGCCCCTATGTCTGCTTTAGAGAGTTTGGTGCCCTTTTTCTTGTTCTTATCCTTCTTATCTTTCTTTCCTTTGTTGGTCAGACTTAAGGAAGCAGCAGTAGGTGAAGGCAAAGAGCGGTAGCGGGAAGAATTGATGTCTGGGTTTTGGATGTCCACTGTGGCCATGTGGAATGAACCAGGGCCACCAGATGATGCTTTTGGAGGAGAGACAGAGAACATACAGGTTGGTGTGTTATTATTATTTAATTTCATGCATCATTGGTAGTAGGATCATTTTCAGAAGAGAAATGTTGAGATGAAAAAGTTACTCACCTTTTTCAGGTGGGACTGGAGGCAGGGAACCTCTCTCTACAGTGACAGGAAGAAGGGAAGAAATATTTTTACTATTTTTACTACACATGCAAATGCCATTGTGCAGTCATGAAGTGTATTGCTATCTTACCGCTAGGTGGCAGGGGGCGCTGTTTCTTGTCTGTCAATAACAAGGAGGTAAGAGAAACCATTTTGCCTCACATTACAACACCATAATACAATATTTATTCAGCTAAAATACACACAATTTTCTATAGTTTAAATGAGGAGGCAAGAAATAATTTATCAGTTATAATTTATCAATCCATTACCATTATCCATTAGCTATATTTTTTCAAAGAATACCCTGAGAATGTATTACAATTCTGTAATGACTACAAGTCTCTGCATTATGAATGCTTGATATGTTTCAGATTTAGGCAAAAATCCATGTCATTTATGTTTAATTAATTTTTTTAAAATTCTTTTCCAGGATCATATTGCACAGAACATATTAGCGCAGAACATATACAAAAACATATTGGAGTTGCAAATATAGTTATGAATCATCTTATTAAAAAATGTATTTCATGCTCTCTGATTCTAAAAATAGACATAAAAGTTGTGGCTATGACCTCACTGACCTTGACGGTTGTTTCTTTGGTTGATTTTCTCCTCGACAGCATTTTGGAAGGCGTCTGCTTCCTGTTGCACAGAAAAGTTCAGCCCGACTTGACAATCCTGCATTATTTAAGGAATGAACAAGGAATCACATTAAACAAAAACAGCACTTTAAACATGTGTGACCCGCTGATACAAATAATTGCAGGGCACCACATCATAACCTAACAGTAACTTAAGTTGGAGGATGAGTTCAAATGAGGTTGTGCTTACATCTGCTGAAAAGGTATGAAAGTATGGCTGTGGCGAGGAGTAAATGATTTGGTTGTAGAGCTCCTGCTCCCAAACCTGCCTCCCTGTCTGTGGAAAAACATGGTTAATATTTCAGTCGCTCAATCATACTCATGTCAGATGTGAGTAATCCTGGGTCATAGTTGAGTAACTTTCTAAATTCACAGGACAACACATACACCATGATTAGATCATCAGTCTAAAATGGGTCTAAATATGCATATAGTATGCAGTCTTGTACCTACATTCTTGTTATAACAGCAGCATTGTCTGAGCGGTTACCTTCAAATCAAACATCCTTATGAAATAGGAGCGCTGAGGGTTGTCTTTGACGAGGCAGACCACTCCAGTGTGCTGCAAGCTCCATGTGGATGGACTGTGAGGCAGAGCCATGAACAGCTGTGCTACTGCAGTGCACATGGACTAAACACACAGACAGTACATACATTGAAAACTGTTTAGGGCTGATAGGACACAAGAGAGCATTTACTTGCAGTTAACATGTAAATTTGCCTTTTCATGGTGAGGATTCACTTCCTTGTCTGCTTTCATTTGTTCAGATAACAACTTGAAGTGCTGTGATGCTCTTTAATTTGTCATTAAGTCATTAAAATGCACAATCATTATTTTGTTTTGTTGTTTACCTCAGTCAGGAACAATGTTACTTCTACTCTGCTGTAATACTAAACCCATCGATAGAGTCTCATTCTAACAACAGAGAAGGAAATGGTTCAGCCACCATTTCCTGTTACTGTTACCTTCTATACGATGACCTAATGTCAGTAATTCACGTTAAACTGCATTAAACTTTGTCTTACATTAGATTAATTTTGACAACATTTAAGATTTGAAGAATATAGAATATATAAAAAATAAGACTTGAACTCAAATGTACCTGAATATATAAAACTAATAAAAAGAAAGTGAATTGACTGAAAAGCAAAAGCAACTCAGAAAAAAACTCAAACTCAAACTGTAATTTTAAAATCAGGGTTCACCTCAGGGTTCGTCTATCCACTGTGCTCATTAAAATTCAGGATACAGTGTTTAACCATGAAACAACCACCAAAGGTAAAAGAGAAGACTTGAGGGCTGAAATGATTTACATTTTTATGTCTCAACCAGAACCAAAATAACCTGTATTATTTTGGATAGCTTTTCCTTTCACTTTATGCAATTAACTCTTCCCTCAAAAAGAATACAAGTCTTGACAAATAGAGCAGGATATCGTTATCACACTGGGCAATCCCCACCCCAGTCAGAACTTACAGCACACCTTCTGCCCAGCAGCTCCTCCAACTTATCGTTCTCCTGTAAGCTCAGCAGAGAGCTCCGGGCGCTCTCCACTTTGGCTTTAGATCCACGGCTCATGGTCCTGTAATAAAGCTCCCAGTTATCTTAAATTAATGTGATCAGCATTGAAACGCGACCTTTCTACACTGTCAGAATACAAAGCTCTACAGTCAAGGAAGTTTCTCTTCTCTGTTTTATGCACACATCAACTCAAAGCAGGAAACGGCCAACCACACTTCTCTAACCCCCACTTTTCTTCTTTCTCTCAGACAGAACACAAATGAATGTGTTACTTCCATATTCAGAGGGAGGCAGTGCACTATTGCTCTTCTCCTGCTGTGAGTACATTTGCTGTACATTTACGGCCACAGACGACTTCTGACTATGCTTAACAATTTACTTTTTATAGCACCTCAACTCTTCTGTACAAATGAAAGACATATTTTATTGACAGATAACATTCAAATTATGTATGTACAGGTTTAAATGAAATTAATTTAAATGTACAGGATCACATAAGATACCAAAGTCAAAATATATTTTAGTCAAATTTTAAAGACAAATATAAGAGGCTTTATTCATATTATCTTAAAAACATTATTCGCCATACTGAACAGTTCCTGGGACTGCTAAAACAGACACAGCATTTTTAACACTGAATTATTAAATGTACAATTTTGATTGTTATTAAATTGGCCTTTGCCGAACATGGTAATACAAAAAAAGAAGAAAGAAGTGTGTTACACGCTATTCTAATATGACAAAGTAATATTCAAGTATTTGGTTTGCAACTAGGGATTTTTCAGTAACACATAAAAACATTGATAAAAAGAATTGTACAAACCATATTGCTGTGTCTGTTGACTCATTTTGTTGTCAGTAACTCTGTTTGACCTTCATTCATAGCAGCTGAACACCACAAATTGCACAGAATCTGTTGGATAATTTATAAAAGGTCACCTCAGACTCAGCTATAAATCATGTTTACAATAGTCAAGTGTAAGAATAGATTTAAAAAAAATGTCACTTTATTAATTGAATTCCATGTAAAACTTAAGTAAGGACGGAAGGAATGAAAATTGTCTTTTGGTGCATTGGAATAGTTAGTGTGGAACCGCAGACTAAACCTTGCTGGTCATATTTAGCTGAGTCTTCGAAGTTCAGGGAAATTTGGACAACAATTTGACAGTCCTAAATGTGTCATGAAATAGCAACTGATGAATAAACAAACTGAAATGCATTTTTATGTTATAAAAAGGAAACTCCTGGGGAAGTGATTGCCTTTCGACACTATCAAATTTCTGTCCTGTAAAATCTGAGATAGTAGGGAAGTAGATTGGAATGATTTTTGGCAGTGACTGAGCTATTCCACGGAACTGTACACATCCATACTCTAAAATGGGATTTCCATTTGAGTCATGCTGTTCCCATTCATTTCTTTTGCATTTCTACGCATGCCTCCAAACAACATCTGCGGGCTGTGACAGAAGTTTTATTCAGTCCAATCACATTATTCTCACGCGTATGTGTTCTCTCCTCCATTACAGGGCCTTTTGTCTGCCCCATGACATTACAAAGCGGTTTCTTTTTTTATTGTTGTAGGCGAAGATTCTTCACACGTCCTTCATCTTCTGCAGCCAAACTGTCCTGTTTGGCTTTGGATGAGAGCTCTGCAGATCAGGGGTAATTTAATGTCAGGGAGAGCTTTGGTTGGCATTCTGTTCGTAGCTTCTCTGTTCAGTTGTGGCCGCTAGTGCCCGCCTCCACTTCTAGACTCTCCAGTTGCCCAGTCAATGATGATAAATGACAAACTCATGATCATGAAGATGAATCCCAGTGCAGCAAAGCATGCGGCCTATAGGAGTGGAAGGAAAGAAAACAACATCTGCATCAACAACACATAAAAAATACATCGCAATTTGAATGACCAAGATAGTATACAGTATCCTCGATAGTTGAATAAATTGAGTTGTACCTGAATCTTGGATCTGGACAGTAAAGGCTCCTGGTCTTCAGGAATAATTCGGACGTAGAAAATGCCAGGAAGGATGAAGATGAGGCTGGGGGCAGATGTGGCTCCTGAAGGAGGAGAAGGAGGAGAACAGAAGTGAAGTGAGTTTATTTAATGTCGTACGTAGGAAGTGATTACACAGTTTACAGATGATATTGTTCACACTGCAGTGCAGTCAAGCCGAGGCCAGACGGCCATCCCTCTTGTGTAAACATACCAATGAGGCCAAAGATGTCGCGGATGGAGGGCACAAAGATAACGAGCAGGTTCACCAAGAAGAGGAGACAAAATGCAATGCTGATGTGTATGACCCAGCTGAAAGCCTTGTCCGGGAACAAGATCTGGAGCAAAGCCCTGCGGATCTGCAGAGGGAAGGAAGGAAAGAGTTAGGATGTTGTGCTTTCTTAAATAAGATCGCAATCATTGTGTCAAAACAAAACCTTTTATAAAAGTAAAGGTTAATCCTGTTTTATCACCATCTCAACATCCCCCCACTCCTCATCAACTAGGTAAAAAATTTCCTCAGTAACCCAAGACAGGCTGTTAGACTAGGGAGAGTAACATCTACCGTCATCACCACCACCGGAGCCCCTCAGGGCTGCATCTCAGTCCCTTATTTTATACCCTCTATTCACTCTCCAGAATCTCAAATCCTCTAATGAAGCTTGGACAACTCAATGACAATAACTCTGTGGTGCAGTGATAACTTCCTGCAGCTGAACATGGACAAAACAAAATAATTGGTCATTAGCACATCAAACACCTCCACTCTGCCCTGAACCCCACCTCTGCCCATTGTAAAATAGTTGAGCAGGTGAACAGCTTTAAATATCTATATACAGACAATAAACTAAGTTTTCACATCACTTCTATCCATAAACGATAAACTATATTTATACAGCACACTTAAAACAACCAAGGTTGACCAAGGTGCTTTACAGGTTAAAAATACAACAATAAAATAGTAATTCCTAAGTAAAAAGTACTGCAATGAAACATTGATTAGAATATACAGTATATGATATACAGTATAATGATATTAAAATCGCCATGGATAATAACTGTCTTAACTCGAAGGAAATGCTAAATAAAAGTGATATGTTTTATACAGTGATTTAAAGCGTTTGGACGTTGTAAAGAGTTGGCCATGTTAACCATCTCGAACAAAAACAAATTTGGCGCCCTCACACACACTGCCTCCAAAATCATATCAGTCCTGAACAAACATCCTCACTGATACTGTCATGAGCTGAGATGATTGAATGTATACATGAGGATTTTATTCATCGCCTATATCTGTATGTTGCCTAGTGTATATCAGTATGTTTCTATGTTGGCAGTGAAAACAAATCTCCCTCTGGGACAAATAAAAAAATCGAGAGTATTATAGAACTGCTGTTGAGATGCTGTTGGGTAAAGACACTAAGCTTCTATACACATCAAGTCTATCCCAACTAGCTGACATTTCAACAGATATTTTCAGTCACTTGTTTAATGCAAATGACCTGCTTCGATATGCAGCTGCTTAGCTTAGCTTAGCATAAAGACTGAAAACATCTAGCCTTGTTCAGTCCAAAACCAGTGCCTCTAAGCTCACCACAGACAGCCAGTGCAGACTCATGGAAGTCCTTGCTCCGAGCAAATAAATAGTCTGGCACATAACCCCCTCATCAAAGCACTTGCTGGTAGATAGATACTTTAATCTTGGGACGGAGCCCAAGCTTCCTGTTTCCCCTGGTTACAATCTTTATGCTAGGCTAAGCTAAGTGTCTACTGGCAAAAAAATTCATATGGGATGGACAGACATAAGAATGACATCAATCTCCTCATCTAACTCTCTGCATGAAAGTGAATAAGCACAATTCCCAACCTGCCAAGCTATGTCTTTAATTTACCCGTAAAAGCTTTATGACTACAGTATGTGTTTGCAGATCTGTTGTATGTTATATATCATTATTCTTTGTAATGTGGACGTTTTCCGCCCATTTGAACCTAGTAAAATCAAACACATTTTTAGCATCTATAGATCATTATGAAGTTCAATAATAAGAGAATGTTCCAAAGCTCCATACAGTCAACACGCTACTGGAACAGAAACAGCTTTTTACTGATGTATCACTCCGCAGGCACAGCACTGAAACAGTGAGGCAGTTTCAGTGCCTTGATATAAAACTATTTTTATTCCCTAAGACACACATGCATCATTTACATGGTGTAGAGGCCACATTAGCAATGTGTTGGGCTTGTGATGCGCAGATTGTTCAAGATCTGCCTTGACAACATTGTTAGGGAAGTAAGATATTTCAGTAAAGACTCGCAAAGCTATATCTGCCGACCTCTGATATAAACATGGAGCAGTATTTTAATGTCAGTTTATGCCACTCTAGATTTTTTTTAAATGTCAAAAGTTATTTGGTCTTTTTCTTTAAAAAAAATTCCTCATTAACAAAACATTGCATATGCAGTGACCCATGGCTCACTTCTGGGTCCCCTACTCTTATGTGTCTACCACTCCCTACCAGTGGGGAGGTCATTTGTTCATAATATGTACATAATAATAATGATAATAATAATTTACTCCTGCATCCTTTGCACTCAAGTCAAATTCCTCATGTGTGTACACATACCTGGCAAATATTGCTGATCCTGATTCTGATTATAATATTGATTTTATTTGTTACACAGATGGTTATGGCCGAAAATGTTCTTTTTAACATTTGACAACCAAATTCTAATCAGGTCATACGTGAGTGGACGTTTTGCCAAATTTGAAGAAGTTCCCTCAGGGTGTTCGTGAGATGTACAAAAGTTTATTATAATATAAAGTTTATTTAGGTCAGACCATTTCTTTACAAAAACCTGTGACTGCATTTGTTATAAGAAGGCTTCACTATAATTAAGTAAAATTCTTGTACAATATGTAAAAAAAATATTCTTGTGCAAGTTTTTCTATTTTCTTGATTAATCAATTAATTGGTTAATAAAATGTCCACCTCCAAAGTTTTTTTGTTTTGTCTAACCAAAAGTCCAAAATAGATATTCATTCATATTTATTACTATTAAAGTAGACTAAGAAAAACAAAATATCTACTGGTACTATACGGCATACCAGTATATAAATATTTGAGATCACATTTGAGAAGCTGGAACTTTAATAATGTTGATGATCAGTTTTCTACATATCGGCAAATCAGTTATTCAGCTACTCGTTTCAGTTTTGTATTGTTGTCCTCTTTTGTATCTCTCAGTTTTATTGATTTTATCTGAATCTACCTTTGTTAAATGTGTTGAATTTTAATGTGTGGGAGGTGTAAAGAAATCCTGATAAAAATTGTTAATATTCCTTCTGTGTTTGATATATACATTCTCACTAAAGTAGTATGATAGATGTCTTACCGGGAAAAGAACCACAGGGACAGTCAGCGTGACGGCCACCAGCACAGCCAGACGCACTAAGAGAATCAGGACATCCAGGGGGTCCACTCGACTGTAGGTGTGTAACAGCTCTGACTGCACATTACCTACCCACAGAGAAGCAAACACTCTTTGACAAATATCACATGGCATCATTCACACTGGGTCACACTAACAACATCAGAACAAGTTGATCTTTGACTCTCAGGAATAAAGAGTATCATACCATAAAAGGTGAGGTAACCAAAAATAGCTGTTAGCAGGTACATAACAAACATGGCCAGGATGGAGACGTTGGCAACTCTCTGCATACGTTTCTTGGTGGCACTAAGGTAAAGGCAAGCAGAAAATTAGACTTTTAGCGCAGCTCTCTGTGTACATTTGGACTTGAAATGGATGTTGACATTCTGACTTACTCTCGTAGCTCAGTGTAGATGGGCAGCACCTCGGGGTGGCAGACAAAAGCGAAGGCGAGAATTGGGATGGTGTACGCTGTCTGAAAGTCAAACACAACAAAGGTCAGTCAGTAACCATTGAAAATATAGCTTGAAGGAGACTGAACATGTGAAGTCCAGCAGAGAATACAATTAAATGCTTGTTTTATACACTACTACACGCCTTAATGCTGTTGACATAATGCACTCTAATGCAGAACATGTGGCAGTGAATCTGATGTGCTAGCCAATAAGTACATACTGTACAGACTGTTCAGGAAACTAGGCACTGGAAATGTGAAAAAGTTTTAACCTGTGAGTTGATGGTGAACATTTTTGGCTCACAGAAGTCGTCAGTCCCATTAATTAAAGATTTGTTATCATATCTGTCAGGCAGCGGGCAGGGGATGTTGAATTTCTTGTATATAACCTGGGGAAACAAACCGATTGGTTAGTCAAAGAGCAATATTTAATGAAGGAACAGTTGGTGGTATTGTTTGTATGTTTGCTGGCTCACTAGTTAAGACTCACCGAGATTAGGAAAAACACCATGCAGGAGAGGGAGAAGCCACTTGTATAGCCCAAGTAACCTGTGTTGCAGTGATAAGATGTTGCAAAATGATTTTAGAAGTGATGATTCTTTAATCCAAGTACAGGGCATGAGAGTGAACACAACAAAAATGGGTAGTGGATAGACATGATGTACATGTGAGAGAATGGGGAATAAAAATAAAACAAAATGTGACAACAGAATGAAAAACATACCAAGTTGTTTCATGAGTGCTAGAGGAAGGATGATGAGTGCGCTAACAATGATGATCAAGTAGTTTCCATTCAAGAACCACTCTCTAGGGGACAGCCAAACAAACAGATGAAAAAATCTGCACACTACCAAAGAAAAAAATTTAATTATAGCTACATGATACACTGACAGAGATTCACTTTGACACTCACCCTGTGTTTTCCTGTTTACCAAGAAAAGCTTGAATAACCAGTGGGAGCTCAGATTTGACGATGAAGAGGTAGCTGGACATTGCTGAAAGAAAGTGAAAACATACACATGCATTCACTTACAAAAATCAGTGTAGTAGACCATGCAATCACTGACATGGACCCCTCCATTCACTTTCAGATAACAACCACAAACTTCAACCCTTTTCAGACCACAACCAAATTAATGTGTTCTTTAAACTCAGGTCAAACGGGTGACACAAAATACCCCAGTATGTAGTATACAAATTAATCATGGCCTTGAACTCACCTGATCTGATGAAGGACATCAATATATGACCAAAAACTATATGTCCCTACCAGACATGCTGTAAACAAGGCCACTGATGATATCAATATGATATTTCATAAGACAGCTATTAAAGCTGACCATATAAAACAAAAACAGAAGTCTGTTAAAAGGTAAAACTTCGAGAGATGGTTTGATCAAGAATGCAAGACCATCAGAAAAACAAAAGCAATGAAAAGCATCGCCAACCAAACAACAACCAGACATACGCTTTAGGTACAATGACATTTTAAATAAATATAAACATACAAATAGGAACAAAAACCGCAATTATACCCACATGAGACTTGAAATCAATTCTGGTATATGTGGAACAATTTACAATACAACTACAAGCACTACCCATCCAAAATGGTGATATCTAGAGAGCACATTTTGAAAATCTGTACAAAGACACACCAATAAATCTAATTAATTCAGATAAATATTTTATAAAGGGAAAACTCCAAAAATTATAAGAAACAACTAAACACAACTAGAATTGACCACACAGACAAAATCTCTCCGACAAAGGAAAGCTTGTGGTCCGGACAGCATTAAAAATCAAATACTCAAATGCAGCTACTGTCTCCTACTGAACAAGGACAACAGCAACAGCTGGACACAGTAGGAAAGTACTGTCAAACCTGAGCCCTGGCAGTAAATATGAACAAATGCGCTGTTTGGTAGTGAAGTATGTGGTCCCCTCAGTCAACATAGCTACACCCATTGGGACAAACATCCAACAGAATCTTTACATGCAGAATTCTGCAAATACATTTTACACATGCACAGAAAATAGCAACAAATGAACATAAAGGCAGAACCTCTCAGTCACAATCTGGACACAACACCACTGCTTTCCAAACACCAGAGTAAACCAAAATATAACGCATTGTAACGAAACCCATTTGGAAGATTGGAAAGAAGAAACTAAAAGCCAGAGTGGATCAGAATGTTATCTGGCCCCAAAAGAGATTGTGAATATGACGGAATATCTCTCTGTTGTCAGTGATAGAAAGCAGAGACGGATCCAAAGCAAAATAGGTTCTACAAACAGGCAATCGAAAAAGGAAGACACAAAAAAATCATGGCAACCAAAAGAAAACACAATATGTGGTCACTGTTCGACAGGTGAGGTTGAGGCAGAAAGCACTTCCTCCTACAATGTAACGCATTCAATGAAATAAGGAACATTTACTTTGACAAGTTCAACTATGTGATCTCAGATTTCAAAGAGCTAAATTCAAAAATTGTAAAATACTTCTAGGAGAAGGAGACAGGGCATACACAACCTACAGGAAAATGATTGACCTAGACACATACACATTAAATTCATTAAAAAAAATTGTAGCAGTTTTTATATAGTTCTCACTTATTGTTTTTTTTAAATACTAAATTTGTGTCTATTAATTATTTTTTGCTTACCTGTATATATATTGCAAACAGCAAAATCACAATACTTCTGTTTATGTATCTCTTTATTTTTTATTTGTTGTTTTCATTTCACACTTTCTTTGACAATTTTGAATTGGATTGAATCTGACATAAACATCAAAGGGAGGAAATGACATGACAATACCTCCAATGTTATGTATTGTAATGACACATGCGGCCAGCATTTTTCCTGGGTGACCAAAAGCTCGATTCCCGAGCTGCTCATAAGCCCGGATGCCTGAAAAAGCACAGACATTAGAAATATATGAGTGTGGTAAGCTATGAATGGGGAATTGACTCTGTGGCTGCGTATGCTAAGATATATGTGATGATTCTAGCTCTGGCTTACCAACAACTTCAGCACATTTCAGCAGGAGGTGAATTGAATATGCAGACAGAATGGCAATGGACACCAACAGGATTCTGAAACACACAAGAAATGTAATTTGTGTTAAAAATGACGTCACAGAAATGCATCAAGTGCCTCACAAATTTGGACATTATTCTTTTTAAGGTTAATTCTGTGCTCATTGTCTAACTAGAAAAAGGCAGAAAGAAAGAGAAAAATAAAGCGATTCCTCAGCAACTTCTTCAGAAACTAAATTCTTATGATTGTTTTCTTTTCCCACCCACACAAGTGAGTCTAGCTGTGAGAGAGTGGTTCTCCAGCTACCCTCCACCCTGCCCCCAGCCACATAGCACAGGATTGATCCAAGCAGGCGTGTCTTGGATGTGATCTATTTTTATCCACTTAAATCTGATTTAGGGAAGCTGCGTGTGTATGAGCTCTAATGTACATTCTGACAGGTCAGGCTTTGCACAGTAGCAGTTGTGTTTACAGTATTATACCTACAGAGCACATAGGTAGACTGACAAATACTCAAGCCCAGAGTCCATCCCCCTGCCACCATACATATGTGTCCAAACACAAGTACACACAGACATTCAGATGATACACACACATTACTGTGGCCCTACTTCTAGCCTTATAAGGACCCTGTATTGACTGTATCTACACAAACACAAACTTTAGCCCAATCTGGATTCTAATATTAGCTTTAAACCAAAATCCTAAACTAAAGTAATGATTTTTTCTCATTTATTTATAGAACCCTGTTTAAGTAAAAGGCACAAGAGCTTTCTGTACCCAGTGAGTTAGCTAAAAGACTGAGATATAAGTAGCAAACCATTACAAAAAGATGTAAAAATTCACAATAAAAGGTAAAACATTCATCAATACAAAAAATGACTTCATTAAAGTAAATTAAAAGAAGAAATTATTAGTTTTTAAGAAAAGCAATTGAGAAATAGTCCCTTAAAAAAGTGAGGAACAACCTAATAGTTTGCAAAAATGTCTCCTGTGTCAGTGTACAACTGATAAACTCAAACACAAACACAAGAAATATTTGCATATTTGGCTTACCAAAATACTAAATATAAATTACAAGGCAGAAATGCATAAACTTTTGTCCACTTTGATGGGACAGTAATACTGTGATCTGAACAAATGCATGCACCTACATGGGTAGAAACACACACCGACGTGCACACACAGAAAATACAGCCACGCACAAAGTTTAGTCAGAAATAGGGATGTGTGTTTGGCTTGCATGCTCACGTAAAAAGAATGATTCCAGTGTTGGACATCCCGTAAGCCAATCCCAGAATTCCACTGCCCATTATGGCGTTACTGAGGTTAAAGATGGACATGCCAAATGAAGTCTTTCCTACAAACTGCAGCAAGAAGACAACAGAGGATGTTACACAGACAAATCAATTCACAAACAAAAATCACATCAACAGCATCACTAGTATTTACTACTATTTTACTGCAGCAAGTCCTTTTCTAACATATGACTGAGCAAAAACCACTAACGTCTGTAAAGTGACTTTCTTTCTTGACACCAGTTTTATGTGGTAGAAACTCCTCATGTTCAGCCAAGGCATCCACTCCATCAAACCTACAATGGAAAAAAAACATTTGTTCAATGAATAACAAAACACAGAGACACGCACAAAGCTACAAAAATAATGTTGCATTTATTTCTAGTGGATAAACTGAAGAATAATAGACACATTTAAAACATGATTTTAATTCCTTTGGTTGAATTTTCAACACTTTGCTGTGATATGGTGTACACACATGAGTAATTGCCCTTTATTACATATTGTCTTACCCATCCTCCCTGCTGTGTCCATTCTGCATCTTCTGAAGCTCCATTCTGGTTGCTGTAGTTGTGACTTGAGAGACTTGAAGATCAACTTTTGCTGCACTGAAAGAATCCTCTTCAAAATTTCATCTAGCTGGAAGTAAAGACAAAACTATTGTTTACTTTCTACTTACCAAAATCTTCTACATAAGGGTCTAATAGTTTTGCATTTAGAAGGTTGGATGTCAGATGGTATTATTTTTTTACACAATATACGTGACATCAACAAACCAACAAACATCACGCACTGATCTTGCCAACTTTCCATTACTTGTAAGGCAAACTGCACGTAGGTTGAGTTTGGCATGTGTCTTTGACTCTATTACACTGCTTCTGTATGCATCACCTTTTCTGAGATCTTGTCTTAACTTGTTAAAAGTTGAGACAAGCTCTCAGAATGGGTCTTCCAGGAAGCTGAAGGAGAACTGTGTGTAATACTTTTATGGGATGGATATAAGGCATTGGCTTCAATCTACAGTACAATAAGTAACACGTCAGTGGCAGACTGGCAAAGGCGTTTAAATACCCTGCCTTTTAAAGGTAAACACACTAGTTATTTGCACTTGAACAGAAGGCAGCCACGGCACTCAAGGAAACACTGAATGTGACTAATGCAATACAAACAGAAAATGCTACATGGCTTCAAAAGGCCAGACCTATTTATAAAGTCTTGAAACACACCACTGCAATTTTCCTGCTTGCCAAGGACAACAAGTATGTTGCTTCTTTTCTTTTGTTTTGGCAATGCCAAAATCCTTTTATTTTATTTTGGAGTTCTTGCTACAGAAGACCGAAATAGCTGACAAAATACAATTTCAGCAAGAAGGGACACTTTTGCTTGGGATGTAACTCAGTTTAAATCTTGAGCGACATGAAAAGCTTTAAATAACAAATGTTGTCAGAGGACTTATGTGGCTCTAATCTGTTGTTGGCCACACAAAACGGGCATGGACAGACTCTGGGAATGAGCGTAGGTCTATGATCCTGCCATGGGGTCATGGGATACTTTGCTTCTTTGTGGGTCAGACTGCCCCCGGAATTTTTTGTATTTGACCCCTGAAGACACGCTCACACTACATTGTGCAATTCCCTAAGAGTTTCACAAAAACTGATTTTGTATTATATTTCTTCGCTCATCACTGACCGGGTCTGTTGACGTCCAATAATCCATACAGCTTGGGGGTTGATAGCAGTGGGCCACAAAGATAAACAAAGGGTTCCAGTGTAAATGCTTCTATTTAGTCTAAATACAGAGTAGCCTTTTCCCTGCATACTGGCCTCAGGTCAAGTTTAACTTTCTTTAGCCTACATACCCAATGACTTGGCCCATGGCCAATACACACAACCTACAAAGTATGGACTAGATGTCAGGAATATTTTGTCATTTAGCTTTCAGAAAAAGCAAATTTCGATTAGTAACCACTCTCAGACTGGACAACTGGGCCATGCTTTGCATTTTCATGTAAGGGAGATAAAGAAACTAGAAAAACCTGGTTAACTAGAAACTTGTTCCTCCTTAGATATTTCATTGGCCACAAGTGTAGCTCTCACACAGTGGAAACAGTACAAGAGTGGAAAAGTAATAAATACAATAAAGTGCTCTGTACTTTCCATCTATTTATACAGTTATCTTCCCAAACAACCATACCCCTTTAAAATGTGTTGTAATTAGGATAAATTTAAATATTTACATTAAATAAGCTATATAATAAATATATTTAAATATTACATTAAATAATCAATACAATAATCTGTCACTGCATAACACATTTTAAGTCAAACACAGTACACATCACAGTATTACTATCCAGCAGTGTGTACCACATGGCTCTTGTCTGATGCAAGACCAGCTAACTATTGACAGTTAGCTCATCCCTTCTTTTCCTCAACATCTAAAACACAAGGACACACACACACATTTTCAACAACTTACCTTTATCTTTTTTTCTTTTTGAACATTGACAGAATAAATCCGTGTGAAAGCTAACTTAATTTTCTCTCCCACTGTTTGTATGTGGCTTTGCTCTCAGGAGTCTCTCCAAAGCTCCTTGGTAGTGAAGAGAAGAGAGAGTCAGAGAGATTAGAGGGTGGGAGGGAGGGAGCTGGAAATGGGAACACCCATATTAACCCTTTGTTAAATCAGTTACAGGTAGCTAGTTGCTAAGAGACTGTCAGGATCCACTCAGCAGGTGTCCTCACTGAAAAGGTGTCCTCACTGAAAAGGTGGCCTCACTGGAGTCTAAACAAAGGAAATTATAATTGCCTGTAGCTACAGGTCTTTAGATCTTTAGCCTATGCAATGATATTATTACCACTAACCTTTTTTGTATGACAATTTTTTTTATCCCCGACCAGCTCTCTCTTCTATTATGACCTGGTCATTAGCCTACGTTGGTGATTTTAATGAGCTATTACAGGCTATGTTGTCCACGTTGCGCTGGCTGGGTAATTGTTTTACCTCAGAGAGTATTTTAATTTTGTTTTAGCCTAGGTTACACCCCACAGGCTATACACATGGTAGGGCTATATTCTCGAGCTTGTTCTATCCTAAGGCCTGAAGATCGATAGCATGGAACTAAATAGGCTAATATCTGTGTAGGCTAATAATTGCCTATCTGTAAGTTAGTAGGTATTGTTTAAATCTTCCCCGCCAAAGGTGCACCTTTTTATAGGATCTTGTAATCTCATGTAATCAATTTAGTGGCACATTTGACAGATAATAATTTATTTGAAACATTCCAGTTTGGCTTTCAGTCTCTTCACAGTACTGACACTACTCTTCTCAAAGTCTTTAATGACTTTCTGTTGGCTGAAGATGCTGGTGAGTAGGCTACTCTATTCTAAGTCTTTTGGACTTCTGCACTGCTTTAGACGCAGGTGATCATCACACGCTCATTCGACAAAATGGAAAGGTGGGCAGGAATCACTGATCCTAACTATCTAATAGATATTTCTGTGACCATGGCCGGCTCAGTTTTGTCCCCTACGAACATGTTATATGGTGTCCCCCAGGGTTCAATTCTGGGACCCATTTTATTCTCCATCTAAATGCTCACTCTAGGTAACATCATCTGCAAATATAATGTCCAGTTTCACTGTTACGCCAATGACACACAGTTAGCAAGTGACTTGCTGAAATAAAATTTTAGATGTCACACAACTTTCTCCAAGTAAACCTTACAAAATCTGACGTTGTTGTACTTGGTCTCCCCACATACAGAATTCCAATCATGGAAAACCTGGTTGAACTAGTAACTTATGCTAAGACCTTAGCCAGAAATGTGGGGTATTTTTGGACCAGGACTTGTGTTATTACCAGGCATGGGCTGGCCCATTATATCTCTGACCTTTTATCCCCCTATGATCCAGGATGTAGACTGAGTTGGGCATTTCTAGCTATTCCAAAGGCTAGGCTGAAAAATAACAGGAGGCAGGGCCTTTGCTGTCAGGGCCCCTAAACTCTGCAACAATCTGCCAGAGGAGATCAGACTTGCAGAGTCAGTTCCCTGTTTTATCTCACTTCTTGAGACACCTTTTTGAGAAGAGTTTTATTGTGTCTATTTTTATAATTTATTTTATTTTGACTTGTTTGTGTGTTTTAAATTTACTGTTGCAAAGCACATTGTTAAAATGCTATTACCATTATTATTTATTTTGGTTATCCCAGGAACCTATCCAGTCAACAGCTTCTGGTATGGTCTACTGGAAAAACTAATTACCATGTCATTAGTAATTATAGACCATGCAAGTAGAAAGGAGGGGCGAAGTGGATGTCATCTGAGGTGGGCTTTGTTACAGCATTGGCAGATACTCTCTGACAGTTGCATCCTGCTGGAAGTCACAGTGATGGTAATTAGCTTAGGAGAGAGGCCTAAGTGCTTTTTTAAGATTACCCACATGTGATTGTACTTAAGAGTGGAAACATTGTGCATGCTTACAAGTAATCATGTGCTTGATCCAAAACAAACAGTAAGACCTGAACTGAGATGTAAAAGTAGAAATGAACAAGTCACATGAAGAAATCCTATTAATATTCCTGCACATTTTATAACATTTTGTAAATGACAGAAGACACAGAGGTATGTACTATGTAACATAGTGTACTTCCTTTACAACAAAAAAAAACCCCATGTGCTCAACCTGTTGCTAATTCATCAGACCTAAAGTGTCCTCCCCTTCTCAGGGACGACATTTCAGTTGGCTGATAAAGTTCAACTTAGCTCAGATATGAGCTTTGTCTGCACACACAAGAAACACCCACATTTCTTTATCTCACCATGACACAAAGCCTTTACTGGAAAACATGTCTGTCTGTTATATAGAGATCATCTCAAGGTAGATCACACACATGGCAGAGTCTGTTTTTACACCTCTTTTATGCTTAGATTAATTTATAGAAAGTATCACTTCCACATTTCAATAATTTTGTCAGGCTATTTTGAGTAGATCGCAAGAAAATATCAATATTATGGTCTGTATGGATTGGGTGAAAAGATAATGGCTACCTCAGTCACCTTAAATTACCATTGTGACTTGGAGTCAAACGTGTGGTTTGGACAAATCCAGGACAAAGCAACTAAAATATAACATTACAAACTTGTTTTAAAATCAGGAGACATTTTGTCCAACCATGCATCTAACAATTAATGTTATTTTTATACCAAACAGTCATGCCAGCATTTGGAGCCAAAATGATCTCCCATTTCAGTGAGTCATTTAAAATCCCACCTCTGTGCTTTACATAATGCCAGCATGTCACAAAAAGGACATGCTGTGAATGAGAGCATAAATATATCCTTAAGTGAAAAGTAAAAGCAGAAACCATCTGAAAAGAATGTTATTCTTATTTTTACAATATAAAGTTCATTACCAGATAAAACATTTTGTGTGGTATCTCTCCACGTGTATGAATGGGAAATTGTTTCGTGGCCCGAATGCTGGAGCAGCTGTAGAGTGCTGGCCTAGAGGCCATCTTCTGGTACTCACCTCTCTAATAACAGTCAGACAGAGTGATGTCTTCAGTCTAGACAGAAATAACAGGGTAAAAGTTTAGACTCGTTGGCTGGTTTACGTCCAGAATCTGCCTTTTAAAGAGCCATGAAGTTCTCTTCAGCTTTAAGAGGAGAGAGAAAAAGTGGGGGAAGGAGGGAAGTAGTAATTGCCCGCGTTAAGAAATTTCCTGCCATGTCACAAGTCAAGCCCCTTCCTGTTCCTGTCCACGCATGCTGCTCTGTTACTTTATGAATTACTATAATCTAATTGTAAATATTGCTTTTTGGACTATTCAAACAGTGTTGCGAATAGAATTGGAAGCCTAAAGCTGAGAGATAAAAACAAAATTCTGATTATAATACTGCTGACTGACATACATTACAGTGGTTATACTGTGGTTGTGCAGCTGGCAGTGTCATTAAAATGTCTTGCAGTGGAAAGTTACTTTTAATTTCGTCTCTGCTTCAGCTTTGCGTCATCAGCTCACTACCATCACCATCTAGTGGGCACTAACACTAAAGGTAATCACATCAGTAAATTATGTAAATACAATGACCAAAACCAGCATCCATATGTAATACTTAAATATTCAATCTGTTATAAAAATAAATTACATCGTAGGCCATCAGAAACCATAAAAGGTGAAGCACGTAATTAAACCATTCATACACATACACGGGCCAGTTTCATACATTATCAGGTAATGAGAACTGAAGTTGGACTGCAATTAACAATTACTTTCATTACTGATTAATCGGACAATTACTTTCACAATTTTGTGATTACTAATTCTGTAAAATGTGGGAGAAAAGAGATCATAGTGGGAAAAGCTTGCCAAAATTCCCCAGGGCCCAAGGTGATGTATTTGAATTGTTTGCTTTGTACAACCCTCAGTCTAAAACTCATAAGATTTTCAATTTACAATGTTATCGAAAGACAGAAAAGTTGCAAATCCTCACATTTGAGAAGTTGGAACATGAGGAAATTTATCATTTTTGCTTTAAAACATGATGGTCGATCAACTAATCTCTTGATGGTTTAATCTTTTCAGTGCCAAGAACAAATTCAACCGAACTCAACGTAATACAAAGCTACTGTCTTTTATTATTTCAAATAAAAATCAAATAAAAAAAAACAAAACACAATCAACAATTAAAATCTGTGAAATGATGAGACATCTACACAGTAGTCTAACAGTGCTTGTTTGAGTTAGAGGTTTTACTGATGAACAACTTGTGATCCATACAGTAAACATGTCACTTCCGATTCTCAACCCATGCAAAAAAATTACACCGAGCCTCGGGGTTGGAGGCATGTCCCTGTGGACGGGCACAAACAAAAAACTGCTTGCCCATGTTTGGCCCCTCCTTCTTCACAGTACGGAGCACACAGGGTTCCCCGTGGACTTTACAGGAGGGTGGGGGGGGAGGTCCATGAAGCACTGACTTCCAAAACACTAGCGATGCACCTTTATTGGGTTCCCTGGGCTGTGGGGTTAAATGTTTTGTCTTAATCAGTGTTTCTGTTGTGCTGCTGGTGCACAGCTGTGGTCGACTTTCCAAAGCACCACTTTCACACTGCCTGGCAAGGGCTACAGTAGAGGGAATGACATTTGTTAGTTTGGGTTTGAAAAACGAAAGGAGACTGCCCTGTGGCTTGGAAGAAGTATTTATGGTCTTGTTTTTTTTCCCCTTTGCGACAACAGAGTCTGATGTTAATACACGCTTTTTACCACAAATGTTTCCAGCTCCGAATGAGTTTAAATTCTCCCTCCTTTCCCCCTCTTCTTGAGATCCAGGTAATGCATCCCTCTGCTCAGACTGAATTGATTTTTGTTCCACCTTAACAAGGAAGCGGGACAGCTTCTGCTGCTTGCCAGCAAACTCTGGGAGGTAGCGAGTACAGAGGGGAGGAGGCTTGGAGCTGGGCAGGAGAGAGCAGCTCAGCTGCCCCCACACAGGGCAGTGGTCTGACCCCTCCACCTCTGGCATGATGTCTGCTGCCACAAACTGCTCTGTCGCAAGCTGGCAATCAGCAAATATGTAGTCAATGCGTGTGCCATAGTTGGTCTGCCGCGCTCCAGTGAGAGTGGACCAGCATGTGAAGGCGTTGGTGCGAGTTGGATGGAAATAGCGAAAGGTATCCATAAATGTTCCACCGTGTATGGGATCTGTAGACGTTTCCTGAGATTCTTCATCAGGTTCCTCCTCATTCCTTTCAGCTTCCTGTTTGCCACAGTGCAAAAAGGCATTCAGCCATTTCCTCCCAGGGTTTTCATCAAAATCATCCTAAGAAATGAGGAAAAACAGTAGGTAGAGTTTCATTATTATTAATATGATTATTAATATGCAAACACTGTGCACATTTAGAAGAAAAATAACACTGCCATTTTATGTAACATTATTTTATTCCTTTACATTAAAGGAATAGTTTAACATTTTGCTTCCTTGCTGAGATCAATAACACTCTGATGTCTGTTCAATAAATATGAAGCTACAGCCAGGATATCGTTATCTTAACTTAGCATTAAGACAAAGGGGAATCATTTAGCCAGTAAATATTTAAATGTCTATTTTTGTGTGGATTAAACACGAGATATAACTAAAGTGAGCTTTAGAGTTTGGGTGAATTATTTTTTTTTCCTTTGGACAGAGCCATGCTAACTGTATACCCCCGTTTCTAGTCTTTGATACTAAGCTAAGCAAACTGGCTGCTGGCTGTAACTTCATATTTACCTTACAGGCAGAAGAATGGTATCAAACTTCTCATCAAACCCTTAGCAGCATTTCAAACGAGCATATTTTCCAAACGAGATAAGCAAAACACTAAATTGACAGTCTTCCAACATTTTACTTACGATATCACTGGGGTCACAGTGGTCTAGTGGCCTGTGAGATGTATTTACGTCTCCTAAAACAATCACATGGCTGAAAAATAGAACAGAAAAAAAACAATTAACTCTGAAATTTTAAAGAGGAGAGGGAATAAGAGAGTAATGATACATTCTCCAAAATAAGACATCTGATGACAGGCAGTTGTGTAATATACATTTGCAATCTTCAAGTCATTCATCTGTGTTATTGAAAATACAAGAATTAGATGTATTTTACTGCATTGTAAACTGCTTTACGTTTCATTGAAATTGACTGACTAATGACATGAAACATATATAAAAGTGCATAGGTACATGTGTTCCATTGCGCACACTCGCTTGTACAACAGTCGTAAACGGGTAAAAGGCAGCAATGTTCTAAACAAACAACTCCACAGTTAAAACGTTTGTGGTAAAAGCAGAAAACACATCTGCCTCATTGTAACCACAATCTTTCCTTTCAGTCAGTGGGAACTTTTCTAAATTCTCACCTCCCATCTTTCAGTATAGCTTCTGCACGACACTGAAGCAGCTTGTAGAACTGCAGTTTGAACTGCTTTCGCTCCGGCTTTTCAGGGTCAGCCCGTGGACAGTATACATTGATTACAGTAACAGTTTGCTCTTGGTCCTGACACCTGTGGGGGTGAAGCAGAGTCAAAAAGAGGTATGGACATCTATATATAACTACTTTGCAAAATGAAGTTGTAATATCCCTTGTGGTCTTTATCAACAGTAAAATTTTTGATCATTGACTTGCATGATTCTTGTCAGAGGAAGCTATACAATGCTTACAATGTGGCTCCCAGTAAAGACTGTAAGGGATGTTCTAGTGCACAGATTGACATTTCTGAAAAGATGCAAGTACATGAACAACGAGAAATACCCAATACAGCACATATAACATGCTTTGCCAAGGAAAACTCAAAGTAGAATATTTTTCTCTTACATGATTCTGTGCTTTGTAATAACGGCTCGTCCTTCATTGTCCAAAAGCTGTAGCTCCTCGCTACAGAACTCAGACTGGTCACCATAGGATCCAACAGCCCCTTCATGGTTGGTCAGCAGACCCGTGAGACCCTCCTCAGCAGCATATGGAGTGGCACTGTCCTTACAATAAGTGGCAACTCCTGTGCATGTCAGGAAAGGAAGGAAGATACCTTTGTTTGTATAGTGTAGTGTGACAGCAGCAACAACAAAGCAGGTGTAACATTGGGCAGCAGCATTAACAGAGATCTTCTGTTCCTCTAATATGACTGGGAATCTTCATAGACATCTCTAATACAGACTTAATTATAGCAATATTTTATTTTAGTAAATGATCTTCTTGTCTTGGTAAACTAAATATAATTAGGACACTTACTAAAAAACAGTACGATTCAATGACAAATACAATGACCTGAATAGCCGCTGCGTCCTCGACTGAAGCTGAAATAGGAGTTGTAGCCGTCAACAATTGCAGTCCCTTTCATCAAGCAAGTCTCCTGTCGGGAACACATTGGAGTTTAACTGTTATTTCTTCCATAACAGACTTCTGACTGTGGTACGTGAACGTTACACGACAGCCCCCGCGTTTTCTCCTCGGGTAACCACTTACTTGTCACTTTTGTCTCTTGAACACAGATAATATCTGCGCCCAGTGAATCAAGAGCCTTTTTAATGCCGCCTCTGAAAGTCCTTATGCCATTTATGTTCCAGGTAACGAGCTTCATTGTGCAAAACAGTTGTCTGACAGACAACACGCCTGCACATCCGGAAGTAAAAAGGAAGACAAGAAAAGCACGAGCGGAAGTGTATTTCTTCACAAATTTTTCAATATTTCTCTCATGTTTCGTGTTTGTTGATAAAATAAAATTGCTGTATTCATTGCATTAATGTTTTTTTTTTTATTTCTGGATAAACAGCAATTGTTTCTTTGCATTGCCCCGTTGCCTAGCTAGAGGGGGTAATCGTGCTTCACGTTTTCGGCGCGCTTTTGACACCAGACCTCACCGTGAAACAAGAGAACCGGGTGGGAGGAAGGGAAGCGGCTGTGCAGTAACCTGGGCTGGTACCCACTGGCTGCTTTCACGATTAGCAAACGTTGCCTCTGACAGTTCCCAAAGGAAGTGCATACATCGTGGTGGTTTGCAACTGGCGAGCTCCATCTTTGAGATAAAACCAGAGGGTGAGTAGCAAGTTTGGCTAATGGTCGCTTTCTAGCTTTAGCTAATTAGCTTGTCTGACATGATCCGACTGACGTTACCACCAGGAGAACTACCGGTACCGCTAAGCCTGTGTAAATGTTGCTAATTAAAAAAGCTAGCTAGTTAAATTATTCAACTCGACTTTGCTAGTGGCATTGCGGTGTCGTTTGGTGTCTAAGTTACATTAGGCTATAACTATTCTTGCCAGGCCGTGTCCTGTTCCCAGCCCGGTGTCTAGATTTTGTAACCTTGTGAGAATATGTTCACCCTCTTTTCCTCGTTTCCAAAGTTAACGTTACGATGTAATCTTCATCGTAACGTTACTTTGGAAACGAGGAGCGCGTAAAGTTAGCTTATCTGCATATTTACAGCTAACGTTAGTGACTTTAGCTCCTTTAATTTACACTCAAATAATGCTATGAGGAAGTAGTTTGTGGACTAGGAGAAACAGATGCTTACGGGATACATCATTTGGCACCGGACAACCGGCTGATGGTGTTTCCATCTTCGGTCAAAGAAGAGGACATGAGGAAATGGGGGTGGTCTGCCCCACCCAGTCAATACGGGCGGCCAAAGTAACGTCAATACAGATTGTTTCTATTGCCATTTGTTATAAAGGTGTAGCTGACCTTAGGTAATAGCTAATGTTTTCGGTTTATTCTGAGGAGATGTTGAATTGCGATAACGTTGGTCAGTGATGTGTACAGGCCAGACCTGCATCCTAGTTAATAGTGACAGTCTGTTAACTGTGTGGAGTAATTGACTCTTCAGTAACGCCCTTTAAATACCAGGGGATGATACGTGCCTATTTAAAAAAAGATGAATAGCAACCATACAATATGCTAGTTGTAGGTAAAGTTATTGTTATAACTCATATAACCAGATTTGACATGACTAACTGGCAGGCATGGGTAATAATGGTACATATCTGCTAATACTTGGCTTGGATTTGTCTAGTGGTCATTTGACCCTTTAAATCAAAAGGTAGGAGTGTTTTCCCACTCAACCAATCCCCTAGTTAATCTTGCCCTGTGCAGTTTGCTCAATTTGTGTCACAATATGATTTACACAAAACCTCTTTCCTATACTGGCCATTGTTCTAAGTCATTTACAGAACCTCCATCTTTGTGCTTTGCCTTTTGTAGCGTGGAGTAATGAGAGTGGAGGAGTGAAAGAGGCAGGTGTCCCAGTGGAACATTGGTAGACAAGTGGGAGGCCAGGCAAGGATGCTGGAGGAGGACTCGGACCCAGCCGGTCAAGCTGTGGAGGGAGAAGGAGAGGCAGAAATGGGGAGCAGAGACTTGAATGCTGAAGTGGTACGGCTTACTCTGGAGCTCCAGGAGGCCACAGAGGAGAAGCTACAGGCAGCCCGCTATGGCCTGGTGGTGCTGGAGGAAAGTGCTGCTCTCAAGATGAAACACAGGCAGCTGGAAGAGGAGCATGAAGCCCTCAAAGGGGAGCTACAGCAGCTCAGAGAGGTAGGAGCACACCAAGCCCTTCTTGTTATATTTAGACAACATTAAGCTTGTGAAGTTCTCATTCTCCCGGCTTCTTTGTGACCCTTTTACAATGCATTTCCTTTGCACAGTTCTCGTTAAATTGTGTGTGTGTGTGTATATATATATATACACCCATGTTTGTCTTTACATCAAACTGGAGTTGGTTTGATGATGTGCTGTTTGTAATAGAAACAACCATTTCCTTAAATGAACTTTTCCAATGACTGCCTGATGAAGACTAGTTGAAACTTGAGATTTTCCGATAAGGTGTTTTATCTGGTCCAACATTCATAAATGTCACATTTTTCCTATGTGTTGAAAGATGACTACAGTAGGAATGAACACGACAATGGTTTTGATCTTTTTATATTTGAGGAATATGCAAGTAAATATAATATGCTGTTGCTGTAATATGGGATATTATTAACAAGACGTAATGGAACAGCTATTTGATGCCTTTTATTATTTCACCTGCATTACCATTGCACAAAAATTGTATTGTAGAATTATCTGCTTTCACATGACACTGTTAGTAAAATGTAAATGCAGAGACACAATCTCTCTATCGATACTTCTCATTTTAATTTAACAACCTTGCAGTTGCCTTGCAGTTGCCTTGCAGTCTACCTAGTCATCCTGGCATGAATTTGATTGTTCATCCCTTCAGTGCTTTTTGGTGACTCTCTTTCTGCTGCCACAATAACAGTTCTGTTACAGCTGTGACCTCATTTTATACTTTCAATGAAGAGACTTGTGATCGCACGCTGAGTCAGTTTTGCTCTCATATGTCATCTGATGCTGACGTGATTACGTCAACGTCCACAGCACATTAATCAACATATCTGGTGCTTTTAACATAATACATTGTCTCTGTTTATCTTTAACTAAATTTGATATTTCACTGCATAATAAGGATTGAATTAGGTTAGTGCCAAATAGTCAAGATAAAAAGATTAGACCAATATGTCAAAACTCAGATTATCATGTAATCCATGCTTTTCACAGAAATTGTGACATATGCTTCTCATCTGCTTCCCAGTATTTCATCTGCCTCCCCGTATTTTTTTAATCTCTCTTTTTTTAATTAATAACTATTATTTAGTCAAATTGACAACCACTCCATCAATCGTATTTACACAAGTCTAGTATAGTTTGTATAGCTGTATTCCATCCGACACTAACAGCTTCTCTTATATAATTGCATTTTGGGGAAATATTTGAGATTTTTATGCTCATGCTTACGCTGACATAGTGCCGAATGACTATGTGTGAGGGGTTAATATTGTTTTCTGAGTGTAAACCTTGTCCCAAATGCACCAGATGGGCCTTGAAGGTGTTTAGTGCTGCTGGAACAGGCTTTTTAAAAACTGGTTTATGTAAGAAGGTAATCCCATAAAATTCAGTGCTATCATGTGGGCAGATTTTTGGTTTTGCAATTTTTTCGTCCAACCCTCGTTTAAATTGAGAGAGAGGAAAAAAAACTAAAATCCTGCTTACAAGCCTTTGGATATTTAGCAAAATATATTTTCCACAATAGCACTAAATATTGGTCCATCCTGATGTTTTACAACCACATATCAAGCAAAGCTCTTTATGTCTTAACGGACGTAGTGGTACAGAATTTCTTATAATCTGCATAAACCCAGTTTCTTGGCTGTTTGTCTACTTTGGCTTTGGCAGGGTTTTAGCAAAGCAGAGTGGGCTCATGTGTTGTGAATTAGCATCATTATGTAACCACACCACAGTGTTCAATTAAGCATGTTTAGTAGCATGTACATTTCATTTCACACCTTATTGGATAGTTCTTTCATCAGCAGTCGTTGATGCAAAATGTGTCATGGTTACTAATTATGACAAGATTTTAAGAAACGCCTGCTATTACGGTGTTAAGTGTATTAGGCTCTTTTATCACATTGGTTAGATAAAAATCCAGTTTGAAACAGTGTGGAAGCTGCTGTTACGGTCTAAGGTGTCTTGTTACCAAATCATAACAGCTTAAGGCTGGACGATAAAAAGCAATAACAATAATTATCGCAATATAATTTTTAAAATAACAATATAACAATAATAAATTAATAAATGTTCAATAAATATTTAATAAATTTTGTTCACTTGAATAATACACTAAAAATAAATTATTAAGATTTTTATTTTGTTGAGGAAAAAGGACTGATAAAAGCTTTTACTTAATTTTACTCACACATATTTATTGACAAAGATTTTATCATAATTGTTTTGAATGTTCTACCTCAGATTTGTGAAGTGATCCACTGTTTGGCCTCAAGTGATGACTATAAAAAAAGAGTTTACAACCACAATAACCATCAGGTTTTTTCAACTTTCACTCAGGAGCAAAAATCAGCCCTTAAACTCAAAAGAATTAACGATTTGATACATATCGTGATAAATATCGATATCAAACATATGAAACTTTTTATCGTGATAACATTTTTGCCCATATCGTCCAGCCCTATAACAGCTATTTCCTCACTATGATCAGGTTTAAGGTGATTATTGTCAGTGAATTCCTGTTTCCCTTCCTTTGTCACTAATTGTCCATATTTACTGCCTTGATAAATGCTGCACATCTGAAATATATTTGTCTTACATCACTAAGAATCTTGTTCCAATTAACATTATGTATGTATTTAATATAGCATACTCTAGCCTGCTAGATTCTGCAAGTTTTGCCATCCATTTCCTTAACCCTTTTTGTTTGTGTAAAGGCGTTTGCAGATTCTGTGAGCAGCCAGAAGCGTGCAGCTGCTGATGGAGAGTGCCGGGAGGAGAACTTGCTGCAGGAGACAGCCACTAAGGAGGCTGCCATGGCAACCCGCATAGAGGAAGTACAGGGCAGAGCTCAAGCAAGCACGCCTTGCTCTGGGCAATGCCCACGCTGAGATCGATAGACTAGGGGTGTTCTCTGCCCCAGTTAAAGAAGGTATGGCGACTGAACCCCGGAACCCTGAATCACTGGATGATGTATTAGTTGTATAGCCTCATTCCCAAGTAAAATTAACCATGCTTGACATGAAATTGGTAATTGTGCATCTCAAATTTCATGCTTTGCACTGATTTGACAGTGGATTCTGTTCTACAGGAGTGTGAGTGTCTGGAGGCAGAAAAGAGCCATCTGAGGGATGAGATGAAGGAATATAAAGTACGTGAGCTGCGCCAGTTGCAGGACAACAGCGAGCTAGAAGATGAGAACATATCTCTGCAAAAACAGGTGTCTGTTCTCAAGGAAAACCAGGTCAGTTATCACTCAAGCTACAATTTTACCAAATACATGTAAGTTCTATCTGCTGGCTGCAGGTGGGTGGATGGATGGATGGATGGATGAAGAATAAAAATTGTAAATATCCAGAATGGATAATATTGTACTGTCGAAATACACTAATAATTGGAAAAATATGTTTATATAAACATTGTGCCATACTATTGTGTTTTTGTATTTATCTTTCTAAATATGAAAAAAAAAACAAAAAAAACGTATGTACTATTTATGTTTCTATAGTACATGTAGGTGGTTGTAAACACACTATCATATGGTCATTGTTTTAGCACACTGCCTGTTTGCATGTACTTTGCATGCAACAAACTTCAAATATCCCTCAACTTTACAAATTGGCCAGTGCTGAAGACACTAGACAGGCCAGTTAATGGGTGATTAACGTTGTTATTTTCAGAAAACAAAATGGCTCCCACAGCTGAAGACAACAATGCTTCTCTTGAATACGTGCTTTTTCCTTGTCCGTGAATTCCCAGTATGGCTGCTTCCCCTGAGATGACATTTCCCAGGAAATATGCAGCAAGAAATAATGAAAATATATATAGTTGCAAGGAGCACTATGGCAACCAGGCTCTAGTGTAGCAATTTCACGATTCCCAAGTGATTGCACGACACTCAATTACAGCGTATTTTTCAAGTTCTTGATGACTTTGAATGCTTTGAGAAATGATGCGTTGTCCTGGGAATATTTTATTAGGTTTGTGTGCTTTTAGCTGCGAACTACCTTTCAGGTCTACAGTAAAGGTTTGACAAAGTAAATTTTTATGATAATGGCGTTATCTCAAGATTACAGGAGGAGTGTCAAACATTGAAAGGATTAAACTAATTAGAAATAACCTAGCTTAGTGATGTTTTTTTCCCTCCTAAATCGTGAAAGTTGATTTAACAAGTTTCAGGCATAAACTTTAATGTATGATTTTGTGTCATTTGGGACATTAATATATTTAAAGCTTCCAGTGTAATAGTTTACTTTCTGCAGGACTTTACTGTGATAATGCAAGCTAAGAACATGTTACATGTTAACATAAACATACCTTCCAAATGCTTTTCATATTTTCTATAGTTAACATCTCAATTTTTGCTCTGTGTGCCCAAAATGTTCTGCAAAAATGTTGTCCTGCATGATAAAGGATGCTCAGTATCCTTGTGGGTTGTCATATTATGTAGTTATGTGATGCTTATTTTTGGGATTCCTGACCCTGTGAAGCAGTTGCATCAATGCACCAAGTACTCTTAGTGATATTGTGATTGGTTTTAATGTCACATGTTGATTTTATTTATTTTAAATAGATGTTGGAAATGATGGAAATATATGAAGAAATTATATAGGATTTAAATGGAAGTAACTATTCATTTCCAAGAGAAACTAGAATTGTAGATGACCAGTGGGGTCTACCAATGCCATCGGTGTATGTGACTGTAACGCTATTGTGCTGATTCCATTAATGGGTGTATTTGGGGCTGTGGGCTGTATGTGTTGCATACAGCAACATATAAAGACCTATTAAACAGCCTTCTGGTTGTGCTTCTTATGAAATTTCAGGTTGAGTTTGAATCGATAAAGCTGGAGCTGACCCAGAAGAATGAGGAGCAAGAGGAGCAGCGAGCTCAGCTGGAGGAGGCAGAAAGGCTGAGGGAGATAGCAGAGAGGCAGCTGGAAGAGGCCCTGGAAGCCCTGAAGGAGGAGAGGGAGCAGAAGAACAGTCTGCGGCGAGAACTCTCTGCCCTGACCCTTAATCCCTTTGATTCTGTGGGGAACCTGGAGCTCCACTTGGAGCAGCTGGATGACAGCCAGGAGGAGGGTCAGGGGGGAGAGGGAGACGGTGAGGGTCAGGGAGATGACCAGGATAGTGGCTTTAATAATGGTCCTGGGTCTGCCCCCAGTTCTGCTCACCCTCCTCACTTGGGGGGCTCCAAAAGTAATGGCCTCATCCAACGCTACTCCACTCCACGCAACAGTGACGTATTCCTGCGTGCTCCAGCCTCTGGGCTTGTGTCGGACCTGCTGAGTGAGCTACACTTTTCAGACAGTCAGAAACTAAAACAGCAACTCCTACAGGTAGGTAACAAGATGTGTCACTTTTTTAAAGTGTCATGGCAATTTTGCAGGGTTTCTTATTATGGTATGTCTTGTGTGCAAGGAAAAACTATATGATTTGCAAGAAGACACAGGGAAAATAGTGTATATTGAAATTCGTCAGTGATCACAGAACTGCATTTATATCTAGATAAAGGCTAACTTAAACTAGTACCACCTTTCGTTAAAGCTGAGTAGTGGATTGTTATGTAAGTTGTGGGATGTCTGCCACTTCCTGCTTTAGACCACATCCGCTGTGTGTTGGTAAAGGAGTGAGCCTTTCTGTATTAATAGAAAGCCACCTGGCAGCACATAGCCACCATTGATACTTGACCCAGCAATTCAGTCATCTCCGACCTGATACAGTTATGCTTCAAATAAAGGGTACTTAAGAAAATTAAGGATGTCTTGAAGTGTCATCTTTCTCTGTCTGAACAAATATATTATTCATGATGCACTTAGATCGGGGGTTGGGTTAGCAATCTCCTACCCACCAGATGTTGGGAGTGTGGAGCTGAATGGGGTCAGCCACATAAAAAATGCATTAAGATTAAAGGTGGTTGGGGGAGAAATTTGTGTTACAGAGCACTGTCCTTATGTTTTATAGAAAACACTCAACAATCAGTATTATCCTGGCAAATAACTGAAATGGCTGATTATTAAACTAATGGACATCTTTAAGTAATTTCAGCAAATTTAAGAAATACTATATATGTTGAGATTTTTATCTTTACGTTTTGTGTGTGTGTGTGTCTATCCAGGCAGAACGAGAGAAGTCCAGTCTGGTTAGCAAAGTGGAGGAACTGCAGATGCAGCTGGTAATGTCCAAACAGGCACTCAGTCAGCAAGAGGACAAAGTTGGATCTCTCACCCAACAGCTGGACGCTGTGCGGAGCAGCCAGCAGCACAACCAGGAAGCCGACAACAGGGGAGAAAATGAGACAGAGAATAGAGACGGTGGCAATGCAGTCTTTGACTATGAGGTGGACACCAAGAGCAAGGAGGTGCTGGAGGCACGAATGCGTTCAGCCAGTGAAGAGCTTCTGAAGCTGCGAGATGAACTGTCTCAGGCAGGAACTCGTTATAACACTCTAGAGCAGCGATACAAGCTGGAGAAGGATCGTTGGAGGGCAGAGGCCCAGGAGCTGGCTGACAAAATCCGTCAATGCATCAAGTCCAGCAAGCAGGACCAGGATCGCATCAGTGAGCTGGAGAATGAGATAGGAGCCACGCGGAAAGTGGCAATTGATTCAGAAGGGCACTTGAGCGTTGCCCAGGAAGAGCTGCTGGCCTTCTCTGAGGAGCTGTCCAACCTCTATCACCATATCTGCGTATGCAACAACTTGACACCCAAACGAGTCACCCTGGACTATTATCGAGATGGCGCCAGAGCAAGTGGTGGAGGAGGTAGTGCACGAAGACCACACTATGTCTACACCCAGCACAACTCCCAGAAGAAGCCGCGAGCCAATGACATGTTCATCTCCAAAGCTGCGGCATTGCAGTTTATGGGGGAGGTGGACAGTGCAGGAGCCAGCACAGAGTCTCCCAACTGCCCTGGATCCCCCACCCTGGATTTCAGGGACCCTTCCAACGTACGCAACTTGGTAGCGGTCATCCGTTGCCAAATCAAACACCTTCGGGTAAGACTGCTTATCACATGTCAGACATTACATTTAGTGCTACTACACTAGTGCTTGTTTGTTTGTGAGATTATAACCAGTGCAAATTCTCTTAACTACTTCAGTGTGGCTCAGTCACTGAAAGCCAGACTGTTGTTCTGGGTGAAGGCTTTTCCTCCTCCACAAATTTCCTGCTGAACTTAATGCTCAGCTCAGACAGTTAAATGTAGTTGAGGAATTCCCATGTCCATTCACGTGGCGTGGGTCTTGTTGGCACGTCTGTTTTAGGTTTGAATGGATTGGATTATCAGGGGTTAAAGAGTTAATACAGCAGTGTCTGGAACTCTGGGAATTTGTGTTTTTATGTAGTGAAACACGCAGTTTAAAAGAAATATAGTTACTCTTTTACATTTCTGAAGAGTAATTTCACAGGTGCACAATAATGTTGAACATTTTAAACAGATTATGTGGTCTTTAATATTGTTATATTATTATACTGTGATATTTTGGATATACTGTATATTTAAAAAAAACAAAAAACTGTAAGACAATGAGTTTCCTAATGCTGACATTTTGACAACAGTTTTACTTTGTGAAACAAACACATTTAACTCACATTTATGTTTACCGTCCTTTCTGTTCTCTCAGGTGGCAGTGGACCTCTGTCGTCAGAGGGGCGCCATGCCTTACTCGGGGTTGAGCAGCAGCGTAGAGTTAGAGCGGGATGCTGAAAGCCTCTTGGAAGAAGTACTAAAACTCAAGTCCCTTCTCAGCACCAAGAGAGAACAGATTGCTACCCTCAGGACTGTCCTCAAGGCCAACAAACAGGTAGGTCACAGCAAGCAATGGCTACGCTATAGTGTTCCCTTTTGATGTCTTTGCACTGTTATAAAACAGTTTTAGTCTAGGAAAAGGCTAGTGTTCCACTTTAGGGTATTGCTCTAAATCAACGTGATCTGTCAGGGACTTTACCAAAAATGTAATCCTCAAAGGTCAATATGCAGATTGTTTTGTTGCCTGTCATTAAAAATAAACTATTCCACATTTGTTGTTTTATTCTTTTTTTTTTTTATTACTATGAGAGGCTTCAACAGTTTCTTTGCATGTTCAAAAATCCTGAGAACAGCTCCCTTGGTACAGCGAGATTGTCACGTGAAATGTAGTGTTTCTTCAGTTGCCAATATTTAATCTATTCTGGATAAAGACAAGATAAAAGTAAGAGAGGAAACCTTTACTATTATCCATTTACATAAGAACTATAGTTGATCTGTATTATCAGTGTCTTGTCTAGACAGTCCCTTGGGCTCACATGCTCCTGCACTCGTGTGTGATGTTGCACTCCTCAGAGGTTCAACTCCATGACTCAAACACTGCATGACCTGCTTCTGTCATTCCCCTTAGCTGTCACTCTCCCTTTCTCATACACGCACACACATAAGCACTTGAGGTAATCTTGTTTGGTCGGGCCAGGCTCACACACATTCTACATTTTCTCATTTAGCTGACGCTTTTTATCCTTACAATTGCTATACATGTCAGAGGTCGCACGCCTCTGGAGCAACGATGGGTTAAGTGTCTCACAGTGGGAATTGAACCTGGGTCTCCCACACCAAAGGCAAGCATCTTATCTTCTCAAGTCTGATTTCTAAGACTATGTTGTAGCCCACCGTTTGTTCCTATGATGGTAATAATGGTACGTGCACATGAAACATTTGCATTGGTGATTGCAATCAAGTCACAGATATGTAAAGGGTGATCACATGAAAGGGACAAACTGGCTTTGTCCTTTCACAGAAAGACTCATAGTACTATTTTAATACTGTCATCCTTATCAAAGCAACATTTCTTTTTTTGACCTTAGTAGCTCTGATACAAATTGCTCTTTAATAGATGACATGTTGTAGTTCACATGGAATAAAGGGACAGTAATGATGACAATTCTAACTTGTTTGTTACATCTAAGTTGTTTGATAATAAAAACCCATACTTATTGATAGCAGGGTATAGTGACCAAAATTCTAATAAATATTAATCAGTATTATCGCAGTGTTGTTAAAATGTTCCAAAAGTACCAATACACACATTGAAACCAAGTTTTATATATAAAACCACAAATAAAATAAGCAGCACTGTGCACTTTTGGTATGTATAAACATTAAAATAATAACAGCCTTACTTATGTAAACTTGTAAAAAAAAAAAAACTGATGAAATGTGCATTAACATTAAAGATGTTTATAAAGAAATGTATAAAGTATATGCAATGAACCCATGCACAGTTAACATAAATACAAATGAGGAGACAATGATAGTTATTGCAAGGAGCCCAACAATTGACATAAATACAGAGGAGTCTTGTATTAATTTTTCTTCTGTTGACAACTTCTACAACCTGTTCGACCACTGCCGGATTTTAAATTAACAAAATATATATATATATAAAAATATGTCGGTTGGGTGAATAGAGAATTTCTAGATTTGATGATGCTATCAGTTTGTAATAAGTGTATGATTAACATATTCTGTCTTTTCTATACAAATCATGCATGATATTATGCATTTTAATGCCCCACTTTGAACGGGGAATGATGGTGCAATGGTTTTTTGTCAATGCAGACTGCAGAGTTGGCCTTGTCCAATTTAAAAACCAAGTATGAGACAGAGAAGAGCATGGTGTCAGAGACCATGATGAAACTGCGGAATGAACTCAAAGCCTTGAAGGAGGACGCCGCTACCTTCTCTTCACTCCGAGTCATGTTCGCCAGTCGGTAAGATTTCCTTTCTTATGTTTGAGGGGGTGGGGGAGCATTATATTCAGTTATCAAAGGGGAAAAAAAGACTTATTACTTTATTTTGTCCCAAGATAATGGCTATTATGGCTAATGCTTTTAACTGAAAAATATGAATTAGTTCTCATTGTCTGGTCTTTGCCTTTTTGCTAGTGTTCTTTATGCTTAGTGATGGTGCTCGTGTTGTGGCACAGCTTTTGCTACTAGTCATGTAATAAGCTTACCATGCTTATTACGCCTATGGACAATCCACTGGTTCACGTGAAGATTATGAACCACATGCTCTGCCCTGTGCTGACGGGGGAGGAGGCAAGGACAGATTTGTCTCATCAAGCCAGGTCACCTTAGGGAAGGAGAAGCCGAACGTTGGCGGGAGATGGGTGGGAAGGTGTTGTCAAGCGTTAAATTTACAGACCACAACACTTCACTCACTAATCTCTAACCTCTTTTGAGAATCTGTAGGCATGCATCATTGTTTCGAGGAGTGCTTTTGTATTGGGTTGATTGAGTGACCTAATGTTTTTTTTCTTTCTTTTTTTTTCTGCTTTTTGTCTGGTTGTGCAGCAGACATGTTTTCATTGTTGTTAATTGCCAGAGAAGCTTCTTGGACATGAATTACCTGTCTAGCCCCTGTCCAGACAGTTATGAGCTGGCATTTGATTATCCTTAAGAAGGATTGGAGAACAGACAGTGGTCAAGGACTACTACTGTCTGTTGCTAACGATTACAGCTTAAAAAGATCCTCTTGTTTATAATTAAGTTTTGTGGTGCCATCATGTGGATAGCTTAAGTGGCTGCATTTTTATAGTGTATGATGACATGGGAGTATTTTTAATAGTCTATCAGCATGAAAATAATCAATTGCTTATATATCTATGTTATGTTATTTAATAAGTAATTTTTGGCAGCAGTTTGTTAAACATTGAGGCTTTGCAGATTTTTTTTCACTATGCTAACTTTTGATGGTATTTCTCATTATTATGTTGGTTTTATTTTATTTAACAAGTCATTAATTAATCAAAAAACCTGCTAGATTAATCAATAAGTGTTAGTGTCCGTCACACTAGACGTCATGTTTAGCATGTGTGTTGTGTGCTTTTGTGCTTTAATTTGTTCTTACCTGCTTGTGCATGTTACAAATCTTGATTGTGTCTCAGGTGTGACCAGTATGTCACCCAGTTGGATGAGATGCAGAGGCAGCTGGCAGCAGCCGAGGATGAGAAGAAGACACTGAATTCTCTGCTACGTATGGCCATACAGCAGAAACTGGCTCTTACTCAGCGTTTGGAGGACCTGGAGGCCCCTCTGTCTCCCCACAGCTTGAACAACAGCCCCCGCCGCTCCCGGGCCAAAGAACTGGCCACCAAGTCAGGCCGGGCTCCACGGAGCCCCCGAAGCAGTCCTGCAAGGCCCACACTGAGGAGCAGTCCACGGGCTAGCCCGGTTCTCGGCAGCAGCGTTCCTGCCATGGCCACGCACCACCTGCGAAGTCTAACCCGAAGCCTCCATACAAGCCCTGTAAGAACCCCTCTCTCTCTTTGTCCTGATATCCCTGTCCAGACAAGCAGCCGGTCTTGCAGAGGCAAGGGTCTGCCACGAGACGCCACTTTCATTAGAAGTCATAGTGTCAGTGATGTTTTTAATGCAAAGTTGAGTCCTGACTGCTCCCCAACGCGTACAGGCTCCACCAGTTCTGTGAACAGCGAGTTAACGGTCAAAACACAAACACATGTCAGTGATTCAAGAAAAGGTGTGTCAGGTCGGCGAGCTTCAGTCCCTGTACGTCAGGACACCTTCTTTACAACTCGCGTTGTACCTGCCTCTTCCACCAGGCTAAAGTCGTCTTTGTTTTCTTCATCCATAGATAATCTAACCTCTTCTAAAGCTTTGTGTGTATATCCTAACACATCTGAAGCATGGGGTGAAAGTAAACAAAAGCCTGATCTAAAACCAAACTTAGATATTTCTGTAAGAAGAAAACAGTTGGGTCACAGGTCTAATTCTGCTCAAGCAGCAGCTGCATGTTGTAACACATTTCAGTCAGACACAGACTCTTCTCAGTTCAATGCTAAATCTTCAGGAGCCCTGACAGCCACATCGCTCACTGCTCACAATCCAGTTGGTAAGACCAGGATGAGTGGGGCCTGTAGAGAGTCTAGGCATAGATCATCCATCCCCACAAGTAGAACCACTGAGGAATTGCACAGTAATGTCAGTAGGGGCTCTGGTAATAAAGCTCAGGCCCCACCTGCCAGGGCCCGCAGCTCACACTCTAAATCATCTCACAGGCGATGAGATAAAGTAGCCAGCAAATGTACAATCTATACAAAACTACTTTATCTAGATCTATACATTATGTTTATAAAAATTTAAAAAACATATACTTTATGCTGTAACATAGTGAGTATGCAGTCAGAACAATCATGCTTTTATTCATCTCAGCTTAACTGATAGCTGTTGGGAGCCCATCATTTGCTGATCCTTTCTATGTTGTATTGATCTGCTTCTCCCTGTCAGTTACCCTCACATAGTTCTCTTAAAATTTTAGTTGAACTAAACATGTTTTTTTTGTCTCTGTCTCACCCTGTCTCTGTAGCGCTGAAACACTCCTTCCATTACTCCAAACCCCCTCTTCTCCATAAGGACCTGTCTTCATGTTGACACCCCGGCTCCCTTCTCCTTTCCTGACTCGAGACATCCTGTCCATCCCAGATTTGACGTGACATTCACCACTCTACTCACCAGAACCATGGATTTAAAAAAAAGTTTTAAAAAAAAGCAAAACACAAAAACAAACCTCTCATCCCACCCTCTTGGTTTTTTCTGCTTGGAACGGAGAAACCTGCATGCAGCCTGGAAAAGGATGAAGAGACAAATGTGCTGCTCATTCCTCTGTGAAGTGATTGTGTCTTGTCCCAAGTGGAACCAACTTCCATCTGGTCTTGTTCAAGGCTGTGTGTTGTGGTGAACCATTGACAGTATTTATCAACAAGATACTTTTCATGTACAGTATTTACTGTGTTCAAGGCTATCATTTTGTTTTAAGGCTGTATGTCTTTACACTCTTGCCTTTTGTCTGGCATCCTGGTCAGGCCTGTCTGGGATCGTTTAGTGTCGGTAAGCCATTAGATTGTCTGTGATAGCTCTCCCAGGTAGTTTTTTTTTATAGAATAATGCAGCCTTACTAAGTAGAGAGCTTGCTATCGTCTTGAGGTCCCTACCTTTTACTGGTGGTACAGTTACATGCCCTTTTTAATCCTGTGAGTTGTCAGGCTCTTTAGCTTTTGCCTATCAGCCACACCCTTTAACTAAAGGTCAGTAAACATGCCATGTCATTGATGGAAATAAATCAGCCATAAATTCACCACCTCAGGTCAAACAGAGTAGTCAGATACATGATTTGGGAGACCTTTTTAATGTGAATCTTACTTTGCAAACTATGCAGACCAAGTCAGGACAGTGCCTGTGTACTTCCTGCTGTTCGTTAGGATTAGGGTGCTTTGAAAACTTACCTTTACTTTCAGTATAAAGTAGCTGGCTGCAGCTGTTTTGCAACAGCCATTTTGCATCTCTTTAACAATAAGAAGCTTTTGAAAGTCATCTGCAAGAACCCCATTTGCTGATGATGTACTTTCCTGCTGTCGGTTTTAAGTCAATGTCTCACATCACTCAAGGTTTGGTTTATCTAAAACTAATACTAACAAGGGGCCATGCTCGTTTCTCTTGATTACATAATCATAATAACAGTTCCCATGCAGCTTCTGCTCCTCTGAACAGCTACTCAACAATGCTTATGTTTTGTTTTTCATCATTTAATGTCACCCTGCTTTTGTGTGCTACCAAAGTGCGCATGTTGTTATGAACTAGTATTATCCACAGTGAGCTAGTTTTCTTTTCCTGTGGCTAGAGCATCCATTGTTTCCAGTTAGGAATGCTAATAGTGCTTGCAGACTGCTATTAGGGTTGCTGCTTGTAGAAAAACTAAATAATAATATTGTCCCATAATTCTAAAACCTATAGTAGCACATTATGACTTAAAATAAAAAATGAAATTTAAATAATAATAAATTTTTAGAAAACAAAATATTTCAAAGCAAAATGTAACGCAAACATGACTGCTTTACTAGTCAGAGCTCCATAAGCAGGGAGCCCAGATTACAAAGGAAGGAAAAACATGTAAATGTACATGGATCTGTTGATACGCCAACACTGGTTGCTTATAGAGTAGTTTGAAGCCAGGGGCTGTAATTTGACAGCAGTGCAAATGTCAACATTTGCTCTGTAACAACACCTGTCTCATTGAATGCAGTTTAAATTCAAGTTGAATTGACCTGATGAGACCAATCATGATGTTTTAGACCGCATTTGGAAACGACTGTTTGAAAAATGAGAACTAAATGCAAGAAAATGTTGACATTAATTTTTGTTAGGTCAACTATCCTGCGGTTTAGTAGAAGAGGTCACATCCTGCTGATTGTTGTTTTTGTTTTTTGTGCCTTTGTTGTTTTTAGACCGCTCCACATTTTCTAAACAGAAGCAACTATTCAACACTCTAGTTGTGATGTTTTTTGACTGTATGTTTTACTTTTGAGGAAACTATAACCAGTGTTTTAGCACTGAATTAAGTGATATCTCATTTTGGTAAAATATTTTCACTTTTTAGCATGCCATGTATGAAGTCATTAGTATGAACTAATGAATAATTTGACATTAGTTTCCTCTGAAATTAATGATCCCTATCTGCTGTATATTTTGAGATAACTGTTACTGTAAGAAAGGTTTCTGTATAAAGATTATGAACTCAGAAAATGAAGAACATAATGCATCAAAAACATTATAGATTGAATGTTGCTATGAGGTTTTGAAAGTGATTTCAGAAAGCATTTTTAGACTGGACTGTTGATGGTGACTATGAACTCCTGCTAAAAAGTGAAAATGCTTTAACATGATGTTACATTGCTTTGAAGGTTGTAAATTGATTTCTTTATCTATTTATTCACTCTGTGCATATGTGTTTAATTTAATTACCATTGTTGTGTAATATTTTAACTGTATGTATGTGGTCTGCATTCTGTGTAAATTGTTCTGGAGGATGACGAGCACACACTCCGCATAACACATTTTTATGTGTATGAAAGTTCCTCTCATTGACCTGTGAACCACTTTTCTCATGAAGAATAAAAATAAGCCAACACTGTTTAGTGATCTTTTGAATCCAAACACAATTAGTCATGCTTAACATACAATGGGCTACTGAGATGCTTTCCGTTTATTATATGGGATTATACAGCAGGCTACCATTGTTTTGAGATAATGTTAAGGCTAAGGGGACTGTTACAACTTTATACATACGACTTAAAATGGTTGTATTTTGTATTTATTGTATTTACGTTTTGTCTTTCAAATTACTAAACGTATCTCCCACCTGCCTAAACCTCATTGGACCTCATGCCCCACCTCAACCTCCACAGTGCGGCTGGGCGATCTATCCATCACATAATTCTCAAACTAAATTAAAAGCTGATCTGTAGGCCCTATCCGTTATCCCGATAATAAACGATCCGATCTTGCATTTGTGTTTACAACAAATATTTTTTAATGCATTCTCGTTATCCACATTGAGGTCAGATGTCTATCTTCCAGACCAAAACCTGCACGTGAGTAAATTGAGGTGGGGATAAATTCGCCCCAGACTCCCTTTAAAAAATCCCATCGTTTTGTGAGTTGTTGCGTAGGGTAAACTTTATATACTTTGTGAAACGCTGTCTAAGACAAGTTCTTCATTATTTGTCCCCTCTTCTAAATTCGGCGAATGTAATAGCCTACATGAAGTTCCTTTCTTTGAATAATACCATATCCCGACGCAATTAGCCTGGACTTTCCATCGCGAGGGGAGCCGACAGTCCTATTCTAACAAATTTAAAAAGTCATCCGTTCTAATTTGATTTTTACGGCTGCTATGCCAACTAACAATATTTTGATGGCTGCTGCCACTGTTGCGGTTTATTTGGGGAAAGGTCATTGTGTCCAGCTGTGTGTGTCTGTGATGTAGGCTTATTAAATGTTGTTGGTGGCTATCATACACCCTTATTCTACTCAAGTGCACACACAGCATGCTGCTTAAGAAATTGTTTGTTTTGGTGATAACTGTCACTCCTCTACATTAGAGTCATATTTTTGTTTCAGAGCTAAAATTGTCATAGTAAAGTGTCTTGGGGTAGGGCAGAGGGCCATGGTTTAGATTCGCCATTTAACATAATGGCTGGAAAAGGTCATGCTAGCCTTCGTTTTTTACTTTGTCCAATTTTAGCAACCTATTTGTGTAATTATGGTGGAGAGAGGGTCTGCATTTCCCACATCACTCAGGGAGGCTCAAGATTTAAAACACACACACACACACACACAGTCACATCCCAGCCAGAGTGTGGCTCAGCTGAGAAGTTTTACAAATAAGAGAATTTCCATGTTGGAGTGACTGTAAAGTGCAAACACAGACCAGACAATCCGGGGGTGGTGCGGACATGATTAATCTTGTGCAAATGTTCCTCTGCGATTTGTTAACTTAAAAAATTCCACTGCAGATAACCTAATGTGATGAAGACACAAGTCCCAGAGCTAATAAAAATTGAAATGGTTAGAACAAAAGTGTTGCTACGGTGTGGTATTTGTCCCGCCCCTCCTCTACTGTGATTCGATGGCTGGGTAAAAAGTGACAGTGACGAGCGCAGTGTTTTCCCCAAAGTTGAACATTTTTCAAATCTGGGCTACCGGAAAAAAATGCTCATCGCTCAGCGCCTCGTCAGGCTCCTGGCGTTTTTACCAGCTTGGCAAAATGCGGCGCTCCCATTGCAATGAATTGAAAAAAGACGCTGGCTTCAGGAAAAAACGCTTTGGTGGACCCTAGATTCAGGATATGAAACTAGTATCAGAGTGATAAACATGATCTAGAGATCCAATATTTCTCTTGTTGCCAAAATGGCTTGCTGACACGTGGTCTGATAGCTACCCAAATCAAAACCCCACAAAAGCAGTTAATCTGGCATATTACACAGAGTGAGATACGGTTTTATGTGTCAGGGTTTTTAAATCTGATTTAGTTGGTTTGAAATATTTTTTAGAACACTTGACTATCTCAAAGACCACCTTTGTGAGGTTGCAGGAACTCAAGCTCACCACACTAGAGCTGGTGCTGTTGCTTGAGGTTGTACTAACACCAGCAAAAGTTCCTTTAGTTTCTGTGGTACCAGGAATTCGAATTAGTTACCTTTATACATTAAAATAATAAGTAACCAGCACAAATCTTTAAAAGAACGTGTGTGATTTAATATCCTCTTTCACACAGTGGTAGAAAGTAATTAAGCACATTTATTCAAGTACTGTACTTAAGTTCATTTTACTTGGATGTAAGACTCTTCCTCAACTGATTTATTTAGATGCTAGACCCAAGAGAGACAACGGGACACGAAGACGACAAGGCAGAAGACCAGACGAGAGGAAGGTCAATCAAAATGTCCAATATGCCCTGTACACCAGTAGCAAAACCAGGATGAACAAGTGATGAACATCTCCGTCATTCCACTTTCAACCAGCCATGTCTCTGGTCTTTCTGAAGGTCATACAATTTGCCCCCACAAAAACAGCCAGTAAGTTTCAAACAAAGGTAGACTTATTCAAGTTTCACCGCAACCTCCAGCTTAAAGTTTGGGATCATACTAACCCCAGTCAAGCAGCTGCTCCTATGCTCAGCAGGACACAGCAAGACCACCATTCGAACCATCATTCCGCCACAAATCATCATTTTAAAGAGCTGATAAAGGGGGATCAGTAGTGTGGGAGGGAGACCAGTACATCACAGAAGCCATACGACAGCTGGATTACCACGAGTAGGCTACAAGGAGCCTTATTCGTCTGACGCAATAGAACAAATTAAGACTAAAATACAGAAATGCTCTTACAGGTAAAGAATGAAAGAGTGGATTTCACAAAAAGAACATTTTCTATGATAGAGCCCTCTTTTTACATGCTTGCCAAAATATACAAGAACTTAGAGAAGCTGCCAGGAAGACCAGTAATCAGTTGAAACGAGTCAGTTAGAACAAGCATCTAAATGTATTGATTTTTACATCAAGCCATTCGTGTTAGATCTGCCATCTTTTATTCAAGATAGTAAACAGCACTATGTACCAACATTGATCATTAAGGAGTGTTTTAAAAAGACAACAGATAGAAAAGAAGAGAGACAGGAAGATCAGATGCCACCTGTTGCTTTCATCTTGCAACTTGCAGAATCAGAATGGACTTTGAATGTTGAATCTTAACAATGTCTATTTGTTTCAGAATCAATTCTATAAACAGGAAAAGGATGCCGTGATAGGTTGTTTTGCCCCCTGTTCCTTTCAACTTGCAACTTGCAGAATCAGAATGGACTTTGAATGTTGAATCTTAACAATGTCTATTTGTTGTAGAATCAATTCTATAAACAGGAAAAGGATGCCGTGATGGGTTGTTTTGCACCTAATTAGTCTAATCTGTTTATGGGACTTTGGGAGGAAACACTTGTGTATTGCAGCCTAAATGTTTATTTGTGTAGATTAGATGTAGATTAAAAATTGTGGCAGGTATAAAGATGATACTATGGTCTGGGTCAGATTCAGAACTCTTAAACAACATTAATAGCAAATTGAAGCTTAGCCTATAACTTTTTAATCCATTTTTTGACCTACAGATCTTTAAATATGTCAGTGGTGTTTTATGTGTTTGGTTATATTTAGAAAACCAACTGACTGCAACACCAAGACAGTTTCCATCCTCCTTGGTTGACAGACAACATATCCATCGGTCAGTGAAACTTAAACAACTCACAATAAAGGAAAATGTCTCACTAGAGAACAATTCCTGGTCTATAAACAGAAGTGAGAACAGTGTTCAGATCAAGTTTACTTTGTGACACAATATAGCATGTAAGCAAATAGAATAAAGCAAATTATTGAAAGAAACTGGGACATATTAAAAAGTGACTATTGAAAAGTGAGAAGCTCTTCCAGATGCCTCCACCTTTAATGACAAACTTGTGAAAAGTCATCGCTGTCCTGTACAACATAAAACTTAGTTAACCACCAGGTAACCATGACTGTGGGAATTGCAGTCATTGTAGTAACATGACTAATACCAACTATGTTATAATAACATAACATCACGTTGTAAGTATAACTTGAAGTAATTTCTAAATTGCAATACCTCATGTGGTTTACGGGCTTGAGTGTCGATGTGGCTGTTTTTATATTGGGAGAACAAAGCATAATCTGAAGGCAAGACTGGTCAAACATATAGTATAAGAACTGACAACCCCCAATACCCCATGGCTCTACATTACAAAGAGGGTGACCACATTAGTTAAAGATATCAGGCACTGACCATGTAGAAAACTTACAAAAGGCTCTTGCAGAGATAATTGGTTTGGATAAAGCCTGTACATTGAAAGCTGAACACCCTGAAATTGACTTCTTTCTTTTTCTCTAACTGCCTAATCTAGCTTTTTTTTCTAGGCATTCTGCCTTTTACAAAAGGTCAGGTGTTGCCTTGCCTGCATGTACTGAAAACCTAAATATTAAGAGTTTTTAAGATATTTTATTCTCTATTTTTACATTTGTTGATTGCCATTTTGCCCTTACATTGTGTGCCATATCCTCTAATGAACATGGTCTGTCATGTGGCTTCACCTGTCTACGCTAATCCACAGCCATGCACTAATCATGTGGCTACTTACTTGTCCATACTGACCATGTGACTACATCCAAACATAAGGCGACCACCATTTTGTAGTGGAGGCCTTAATGGATGACACATGTAGGCATGTGTTTAACTGCTACTATGACTAAATAGCCTAAGATATTAAAAGTTTTCTAAATTACCATCCTCTTGAGTGCCTCAGATTTATCCAACAATTCTATGCATTTTACTTTACTTGAGTATTTACATTTTAAGATTTATTCTCACTTCTACTCCACTACATGTAATGCCTAGTGCAGTGCTGTTTAGACTTGCAGTCTTGTAATGGGAGTCTTCAATTCGTTGGGGGTGTTCACACTACAGCAGCTGGGGGTCAGGAGCTGACAACGACTGGTCCCCAAACCACGTTTTGTCAAGAAAACACGTGAAAAGTGACAGGGGAAATGACGAGAAACCACGCCGGAAACGAGTTGTTTATTATTATAAAGATAAACATTATACAAAGAATATGGGTGAAAGAATGGATTAGCACCGGCGGGCAGCTAGAATTGTGTGTGAGAGAGTTGGAGTGGAGTGGAAAACATGTTTTATAGTGGAAAAAGTAGATGCCTGCTCTGCCAGCTGCCTGCTCCCATTGGTTGGATGTCGAGACGGCTCCAGATATTTAGCATGGGACACGTCGGGGCCTTTGTCAGTCTATGGTCTGGCGACTTCCAGCCTGTCGCCCAGTGTCGGCTGGGATTGGCTCCAGCCCCCCGCGAACCTGCACGGATAAAGAGGTTGGAGATAATGGATAGATGGATGGATTTATATCTGTCTTTGTTGAGTAGTTCACACATGAACGTTGACCTCCGCCAATCGATCGCTGATTTGCCCCTGATCACAGCCGCCCACACTTTTGGCGAATTACTCGATTACTTGCATATCGGGCTTAAAATCGTGTTGGCCAAGTGTTAACTAGGTATGCAAAGCCTGTTCTTTTTACTCCACTACATTTACATTACAGCTTCAGAGACTGACGTTAGTTAGGCTACTTTACAAAATTAGCTCCATCTTGACCGACTACAAACGTGATAGTATAGCACGCACAGGGGCAATTTCTCTTTTTACTTCTTACATTTTACTAACAAACTTTTCAATATTTCTAATGCATGCGTTTTACTTGTAATGGAGTATTTTTAAACTGCTACTTTATCTGAATACTCACTTTCACCACTGCTTATAATGTCATTTCAACTAAATAATGTGTGTTTAGACTCTTTCAGTGTACAAAGGAAGGTCCTGATTGCATTTTGAAATTACATTTTGTCCGATGTGAATGGGTGGTTGTTTTGACCATAGAAACAGTCAGGACTATGGTTATGATTGGCTGCAGGAACTACCGATCCTCCCCTTCCAACCACAGGGGCGTGGCTATGTTGAAGGCGAAGGGATGTTTTCATCTACGAGCTTGCAGAGGCAGCAGTTTTTAGGCGTGTGCATACTCCAGCTGTAAACATGTCTCTTAAGACAGTGGGCACAGCATTAACCCGTGCACTGTGGACTACAGGAAACAGGACTCCCCCTCTTACGCGATCCCCCAAAGTAAACAGACTCTCTACCTCATGCAGGGTGTCTGGGGAAAGAAAGCAGGGCCACGAAAAGACAAAAGAACAAAGTTGCGTTTCGGACTCAGACAGGCCGAGTGGCGACGTGCCAACACCCAGCGAGCCTCCTCACAAATGCACGACGGGAGATAAGCGACTCAAGGAGCCCGTGGGTGCTCCCGGTGTTACTGGTGTGAGAAGACGGTCGTACACGTCCAACGCAGCTCCAGTGGACCAGAGGTCCTTCCTGTGGGCTCGTTACAATGACATGAAACGGCTGGTTCACGGTAAGCAGAGGGTCCCCTCATTGTACCCCAAGTTCCCCCCTATTTAGCATCGTGGCTCTCTGTTCCCAGCACCAGCGACGTTTAGCCGTTAGTGAGGACATTTTGTGTTAAACAGTTATCCTCTTTCAAAGTAACTTAGCCAAGCGCGGACAGATTGCACTAATGCGGCTGACTCCTCCATGCCAAACGCATTTTAGGATAACGTTTCAAGCACGTGCATGCTGTTTTTAAATCAAACGACAAGTTAAGAAGCTAACTTTGTTCTTCTACAGTCCCTCTATTTACAGCGCCCCTAATGTTAGCAGCATTAACATTGCCTTGTAGCTAATAGTGAAGAAATCTTAGTTTAGGGTAGGGCAGGGCAGCTTCCCGCAAAATCAAGCATGCAAAGTATTGGAATTTTTAATCGAGACTTGATCAAAATGTATGACAGCATTGAGTTAAATTGAGTCAGTTTGTTTAGTTGGTACATACTATTGCAAAACCGTTTGCAATATTATGTACTAACGTTAGATGTTTACTTTTCAGACGTTGTTCTGTCCACATGGCCCAGCCCTACTTTCAACTGTGTTGTTAAAGGGGGGAAGGGGAGGTAGACTTGAAGATCACTTTCTGCCAGGTCAGAGCTTTGATGTCCCCCAAGAGGAAATTCTTGTTGCAGCAAGGCAGGCATCTTGAACGCAAACTTGAAAAATAAACCCAGTAAAAACACACTACACAGACCGTTACAGACATCAAGTGCCATACTATTTGTGCAGTTCAGATTAAAACAAATTTGTGTGATAAAAGCAACAAAAGCTACAACACAAAGAATAAAGATAAGAAAAATTAAGTGATATGCTGTGCAGAGAACCAAGAGACAGTTTATAATGTAAACTGTAAGGATACATGCTGTAATAAGTATTAGAATTCAGTAACAAGACGATAACAAGATAAGTAACAATATGTCTTAAGCCTTAAGTAAACTTGCTAATCAAAATGAACTTTCAATATCAAAAATACTCACTCATTCAGTATAATGCCCCCTACAGTATTATGATATATGATTATAATCACTGATGCATTAACATCAACAATAAAAAGGCATTTTATTGCTGCAACTTGTCGAGGTGAAACTAATTTGAGTGTTTCATTTTTAACAGTGCTTCATGATTTATAAACAGATCAGATGTTGTTTTGTGCACAATCTTAATCTGGGTTATAGCTGTCAGATAAGTGTGAAGTAAAACGCTCAGTTTTTTTGCCTCTGAAATTTGGTGGAGTAGAAGTAGCATAAAATGGAAATACTCAAGTAAAGTACACGTACTTATACATAGTAGTTATAAGTGCAATACTTGCATACATGTACTTAGTTACGGTCCACCACTAGATATGTGGCTTGTTTCTTTTTTAATGTGTAAAATTGACTCTGCCAAAGCAAAGCATGGATTCTCAACATAATGGATTTTAATTAAAGGTGGTCATGCCCTCTCTCATTGACCATTGCATAGACCTAATCTTTTGAAATGCGACTCAGTATAGAAAGAGAAGCACTTCCAGTAGTAGAGTGGTTGGAGGGAAACTGGCCTCAGGGTTGTTACATACATGTCTGCTGCCCAGCTGCAGCCCTCATTGAACTGTCCCAGGACAGAAGGCAATGTCCCACTTTTTTCTTTAGATCGTTAGTAACACGGGCCTCTGCACATATTCCAGTCAGGGTTTTAGAGACCGTCTCAGGAACAGATTGTTTGTTTAATCTGTGCCCATGTGTTTGCTGTGTGACTGTTGTACTTATCAAAATAGTTGCCAGCAAAACTGATAAAGTAGATGATAAGAGCCTCTATTACAACAGGTAATGAATGTTATGCTCCCATTCAGCAATTAATTAAATTTTATATATTAAAAACACACTCTATTTTGTAAGGACTGTACAAAATGTTCTTTTTGGACTGACTTGGTTCAGTGTCAAGTCAGTTGACATTCTGGAAGTACACATTACACAACCTCTGATGCGCTTGCCAACCTCACTAAATCGACACCAGCAGAAGAGCTACGTCTTTCCGTTCTGTTGTCATACAGCACGTTTCATAATAAATAAGATTTTCTTTTTTTACATTATAGCATGAGTCAGACATTGTGAATGGCCAAATCAAAACTGTGCAAGGGTGAAACCATGACATAGACATTTGAGGTCCAAATGAGAGCCCTCCACAAGAATAAAAAAAAAAAGAAATGCATTGTCCACAATTCTGTGATATTTATATGTGGAAATATGCACATTGAGAACATATTTTTGACAATTACATTGAATTTGTATTTGAATTCACATTTAAATGAATAGTCTGATTTCTCCCAGATGGTGTCTGCCACTCTGTTCGTTTTGGTCAGTTGCTTACTGTTTACTGATCACATACATTGAATACTCTACTTCTTTTTCTATATTTATTTGCCTTAATATTATCATGCTATTTAGCTAGGTAAATAGTGTATAAGGAACAGTGTACATGCAGTCCTGTCCTACTGGGAACTGTGGCCGTTATTGTCCATCTATGCTGTCTTCAAAGCCACCAGACTCCTTTGACAAAAACAATAATTTTACCTGGCAGACCACGGGAGTTGGTGGTTTACCTCTGCCTCAATTGGTTAGTTTGTCACACACATATTTTCCTTAACGGTGTGTAAGATTTAGCGGCACCTAGTGGTGAGGGTTATGAATTGCAACCAACTTTCCAGTCTACAACTGCCCCCGACCCTTTCAAAGAGCATAGGACAGCTACGGTGGCGGACACAGCACAAAAGTTGTCTCCTCTGAGACAGCAGAGAGCAGCTAGTCAAGAAATGAGGTTTCTTTAGGTAGATAAATTAAGAAATTAAATTTATTTAATTTTTCAGTTAAACCATATATACAGATTGTGACTTGGCCACTGACGGATAACATGGAAATGTAAGCCAAGAGTGTGAACTGTCCATTATTGGGAGTATTTCAGTCAGTCACTCAACAACGTGGTGCTCACTCCGCGAGCTTCACTGCAGCACAACTGCTGTCCATGAATACGTGAAGCAGCATGAACACATGAAGCGAAAGTATCCTGGCGCACTTTGTCTAGACAGCAATGGCAGCCCTGCAAATTGTGTTTACTTTCTGTCTCCACACAAGCACAGCACATTATCAGCACGAGGACACGTAGTCCGTTAAAATGTATTTCTTCATCGCCTTCATGTTAAAAGCATAGAAAAGTAATTGCTGCCCCGCTGCTGTCATGGTAACGTAACGTTACACCATGTGTCATCTAACGTATATTTTCTGTTTATTTAACGGCCACGTATGAGCGAGAATGAATCTCATGTTACAAAGAATCTGTGAGTGTCTGTAGGCCTACAGTCTGGGTCGTTTTAGTTGTTTCCTTTGCCCCACACTGATGCAGAAATACATTTGATTATCATACTGCATTACTCAATATTGAAACAAATGTCAGAAACATTTAAAGTTTTAAGTAAAGTGGCCTATTAATGTCTGTTATTGTTATTATCACAACACAGCGGTGACGTCGAAATTGGATTCATTTTAAGATATGCTGATATTGTCATTATTCTTATGTGCTTCATCAGGATGTTTGAATAAAATATTGATTTATTGATATTTATTTTGGATAAATTGGTTGCTAGGGAAATGAAGAAGGGTCCGTTGGGTTGATGGATGAGGATCAAACACTGCAACACATGCCGTGATCTGAGAAACATTTGCTGCAGAATCCATTTGTTGAAGAGAGGAAAAAAAAAAGTGGTCCCAAGGTGGGATCAAACACTCAACCCTTGGATTACGATTCCTGCGCTTTACTAACTGAGCTAACCAAACAACATGTTAATTTAAGTGAATATTATTTCTTATATTCTCATCCAACATCTAATGGTTGAAAATATTGCTCCGATGCAAAATCTATTTGCCAACATCTACTGTATATTATTACTTATTGTTCTTTGAATGTACGTATTCAACGTAGTGATGAGTGTCTACATCGCCTGAATTCTACCAGAACAAGAAGAACGTAGTGACCGCTGTTTGTCTTTTTTGGGCTGCTGTAGAAACATGACGGTGCAACGTTTATTATGTAAGGCCTTTATACACCACTGAAAACATAGTTATGGATCTTACATTGCATTTCTGTTGATAGATGCTCAGAAGTATTACACACTGGAGCTTTAGCAAACAGAAATAAATAGAAAATAAATAGGACATAACAAGAGATAGATCCCTTGACATGGTTCATAAAAGGAGGACAGATTGGTATTACAGATTGGTTATACGACCCCTCAGCCCACCCCCAAAGAATGCGTGGTTACACCCACAAAACTGTGACTTGTGTTTTGCTTCCTTATCTTGCTTAGTCATTGATGTCTTATCTGATCTGCATATGACTGAGTTTCCCCATCTGCTCTCAGAATTGATTCCACCAGGTGCGTGTAACCTCCTCAACTCCTCCACCATCTACGCTAACAATGAGGTCAACCTGGCTGAAGTGGACATTTATGGCTTTGACTATGACTACACGCTGGCTCTGTACTCAAATGCGCTCAACACAATGATCTACAATAAAGCAAGAGACTTCCTAATTGAACACTTTAAGGTGTGTTTTACAGTAGTTGCATTAATTATATTGGCATTACAACTGCTTTTAGATTCAGGGTGATTTATCCAATTTGTCCTCCTGCTTGACAGTATCCTGAAGGCATCCGCAAGTATGATTACATCCCCAACTTTGCTGCTCGGGGGCTTCACTATGACATCCAAAAGGTTAATTTTTTTAAATCGAAAATGTCACATGGCAGGAAGAGAAATGTTTACATTTTCCTGTTTAGATAATTACAACTGAAACTCTTCCACCCTGCCTGTAGGGTCTTCTGATGAAGATAGATGCCTTCCATTACATTCAGCCAGGAACAGTATATCGGTAAGAACGGTTGATGCTGTGTGTATGTTGCAATGTTGCAAATATTAGTAAAACTTTCAGGCCATACTGACATGCAATTTAATGATCATTTTTTATTTTCTTATCTACATCCCTGTTTCTGAAGACAAACTCATCTATATGTAACGTCTAATGTTCCATGTGTTTTTAAGCTCATTCATTTATGTTTGATGTTCCCAGGGGACTGATGCCAGTGCCAGACGAGGAGGTCGTTCAGCTGTATGGAGGGACTTACCATATCCCCCTGCAGCAGGACAGTGGCTTCTATGGAAAGGTGAGGAGGAGTAATTATAGTAGTAATACGAATACAATTGGATAATGTATATCAGATACTTCAGCTCAGCTGGCTTTGAATGTTTGTAATTATTTTATTATTAATATTATTATTATTTATTACAGTTATTGCACTCAGCATTCCGATATGTTCTTCTCTGTGAAACGTGTTTGGTTTGGCACAGATGGGAAAGCTCTTCTTAACTTTGTGGGCTCAACACATCTGTCATAATCTCATCCAGTCACTCTCAAATAGGGATGTACTTCAGGATTAAATCTGTTACTGTCCTCAGATATGTCTGTATAGTGTCTGGCTTTGCGTGGCTTTACTATTACATAAATCCCTGATGCTGAATTTTGTAATCGCATTTGTTCCATTGTCGTCATGAATCAGCTGGAAGGCTGTGTTCCAGTCCCTAAAAAGCTGACCACAAAAACTCTGTGACCTGACAAAATCATTTGTTTTTAGTTGCAACAAATTAGAAGCTGCACTCAGTCAGTATTGAATCTGACAGTCACAAATATTAATCTGACCTGTTGGCTAATTAGGAGCAATTTGGACTGTTGTTTTGATTCAGGCTCAAATAGTTTTCGGTCCGTCAGGTTTTTTAAGTGTCTTCCTGCAGCAGGAAGTACACCTCTCCGTCTTCTAATTGTCCTTGAAACAGTCTCCAAAATAGTTTTCAGGGTAGCCTCTTAATGGGTAGTACTTGTAGTGAAAATTGTTCCAAATGTGATTACAAAGTTGTACAAAAGACCAAAGAGGTACAATAATTTTTAAGTTTCACAAACATTTACTGCATCCCTCATGAAAAAGCAAAGATAAATTAAGCATTAAAATGTGTTTTCACAGGGACCAAAGGTAAAGCAATTCATGGACATCTTCTCCATTCCTGAGATGACTCTCTTGGCAGTGGCAAATGATTTTTTCATCACCAACGACATCGACTATGATCCAGTTCACCTCTTCAAGGATGTCTCGGTGAGAATGCCCCCCAGATTCTCACAGTATTAGATGTTACACCCAGTGTTTTTGGTTGTGGCCTCACCCTGGAGCTCATACGGAGAATCATACTGTCCTAGTGTATTTGACTCTTTCCACATGCTGTCATTCTTCAGCTGGAGGCTCAGGAATCTGCTGAGCTCAGTGGTAGTATGCAGTGCACTCTCATGGGTAGAACAAAACAGAATAACTTTTTCCTCGTGCTCCTGGGGTGTTAGGGTTTCCAGTTACTGGGCACTACAGCGTGTCTGCTATGTCACTATAATATCTGCTTTGATAAAAAACATGCAAACTATACTAAGCATTTTCATATAATAGACCATTTCTTTCTGAGTGACTGTAGTTCAGAGCTGTCTTTTAGCAGAAAATAACTCATGCTAGATCAAGTGAGTGAGACTACCAAGAAATTGTTGAATAACACAGATCTGTTGCCTTATTTAATCCTCAGGAAGCAATTGGCATGGTTCACCTCAAAGGCTACATGTACAAATGGGTCATGGAAGATCTTGGTGAGAAGTCCTTTTCTTGTTTTTGTATCAAGTCAGCACATTGCTGCATCTAAAACAACATTACAGTTACACTTTGTGCTACTGAGCTGTCTTTCTCTTCATAGATAAGTTCATTCTCAGGGGAGAAGAGACTGATGCTGTTCTGCATCGATTGGTCAGTCATGGAAAGAAACTCTTCCTCATTACCAACAGTCCCTTCAGCTTTGTGTAAGTGTTCTCTGTCCGTGGCTCATCTCTTCATGAGTCCTCTCTGACTCATAATGACGGTGAACAGTTCTGTATGAATCTGTTTTTCTCCACGTGCGCAGGGATAAAGGAATGACGCACATGGTGGGAAAAAACTGGAGAGACTTCTTTGATGTTGTCATAGTGCAGGCAGACAAACCTCACTTCTTCACAGACTGTATCAAGTGAGTAAATATTTGGGGGAAATCTGTGAACAGAGCATCGATCATCTAATGCTCTGAAAACCTAGTACAGCTAAACAATCACATGGACTTCACTTCAGTTTCTTGTTTCTAAGAGAAATCTATGAACTGTCCTTAAACACTGTTACTCTTACAGACCTTTCAGACGGTTGGACGGTAATGGAGACCTTCAGTGGGAAAAGATAAAGAGTTTGGACAAAGGACAGATCTACAAACAGGTCTGTATTACTTTAGGCTACTGTCTGACCTCTCTGAAATGTTTCCTTATGTTTGAGTTGCTCCTGGTCCTCTTAGGCCTATTTCTCTCTCTATTTAATAGCTGAGTTTTACATGTTGTAAATGCTACACGTTTTTACTTGTGGCATTTTTTTTTTTGTCTTAACAAACTGTGGTTTGTGGTTTTCTTTTGTGTTTCAGGGAAACCTGTTTGACTTTCTCAGACTGACGGGCTGGCGAGGTTCAAAGGTTCTGTACTTTGGAGACCATCTTTATAGTGACTTGGCTGTAAGTGACACATACAAACACAGATGTAGAATCTCCACTGTCTCCATGTATTGCAATTCTGGAAATGTCCAATGTGGCATTTGGTTGAAGCCAGAGTCAGCCACACAGTGAACATGTCAAACACCAGATGGCAGTACAGACAACCTTATGTTGTTTAAAACAGTAAAATTAATGGAATGGGTTACTGTGTAAAGTAAATATGAAAAGATTAAAAAAGACATATTGTTTAAGTACTATTTTGAAATACTTGCTAATTAAACACACAATCAGCAAGGAAGGCAAGGCAACTTTATTTGTATAGCAACTTCTAAACACAGGAACCTAAGCAGAAGATGTGCATTACAGCAGCACTTATTAACACAATAAAAAGCTAAATAAAAGCAAGTGAAATTTTAAACAAATAGATTGAATGAGATAAAACAACAAAAGTATGCATAATAGACTAGAAATACAGTTACACTGGAGTAAGAAGATGCCCCAAATTCAATAAAAGAAATAAAAGTGCAGTAGAGAAACCAATTCATCAATGGCACAAGGGAGCAGCAGTTTGTAAATTAGATTTAAAATGGTTAAAGTTGGGGCGCTAGCTGTTTCCATCTGTGTACAGAAGAGTATCTGAATATATTTTCACTTGAGGCACTGCCACCTGAATGCTTCATAAACATATTTTGGCCCTCTACAAGCCACTGATTCACTTATAAAATGAAGACATCTAGAATGCTGAATAAACCAAGTTCCTGCAGAGTTTATAGTTAAGCAAACATAAGTTAATATGTGGTCTGAGAGGGCTGGTTGGTTATTGTATACCTCAGAAACGAAAACATTTGCTGCGCCTAACATTTCCCCAGTAGTTTTGTACTGCTTCTGTCTTAAATAAAGATACTGCATGCAAACTTGAATGAGAATTTCCCATCTTCCCAAGGATCCTACAATAACGATACTACAATAAATCACTTTACAGGCTACAGTTTAACCAAAGCAATTTCACTTGTTGGGTTAGGACCTGATGTTGCGACATGGCTGGCGTACAGCAGCCATAGTACCTGAGCTGGAGCACGAAACCAAAATGGTGAGCACAGACCGGTTTGGTCTCACCCTCACTTGGCTGCAGGCTTTAACCGGCCTGATGGAGCGCCTACAGGTGAGAAGTTCATTCCTGGAATGCAGGAGCTTTGACCCTATTGTTTTTACAGCAAACCTCAGTCTGCACTGGTACTTGTTTCCAGCTATTTGTCATTGAGTTCTTAACTGGTATGATGACAGTTTGATGGCAAATAAAGATCCAGTTACCTAGCTGTTTGGGTTCATGTAAGCTCTGGTTGTAATCGAGCAGTTTGGGACTGAATGAATGAAGCACAAAAATGCAATAAAAACAACTTTTCCACTCTGGTTCAGACCAAAGAAGACAAAATGTGTGTTCTCACCTTTGAATTGAGGATTAGATTATTCTTTGCTCATGTAAATTTTAGGCTTTATTTTAGAACAGTAGACTTTGATTTATTCATAGTGGTGTCTTCTTCATTATCCTAGACACATCGGGATCCAGAGTCTAAACAAGTTTTTCAGGAATGGCAGAAGGAGAGGGAAGAACTCAGGTGAGTACCGTTATCTTAATCCTTCACTCAGTCTCCACCCAGTTAACCCAATTCATTCTGGTTCATTTCTTGAAGCACTGATATAAAGGTGCGTAAACTTGAGTATTTAATTTTTACAGTACTTTATACTTCTACTCCACTACATATGCTTGACAGCAATAGTTACTACTTACTTTGAAGATTAAGATTTTAACAATGAGCATATAAAATATGAAGCTACTATACAACCACCCAACGGCATATAAAATAAGTTACTAAAATGAGTTCCACCTTGAGCAGCAACATCATTAAAATGCTGTTTACATGTTGCACATAATTTATTAATACAAAATATGATATATAATCACTCACAGACCATTCTGCCTGCATAATGAATTAATCCTTTAAGGACATTATACTTACAAAAGTTTGAGTGAAATACATTTGTAATTTGGTATTTTTACTTAGGTAAAATATCTGAATAATCCTTCCACCACAGCTAAATATGAATTGATATATATACTTAAATTTGTATTAACTTACACCCTAAACTTCTATGCCGCAGGGTGATGACAAAGAACCTATTCAACCCTCAGTTTGGCAGCATCTTCAGAACGTGTCACAACCCCACCTACTTCTCCAGGCGTCTGTGTCGTTTCTCAGACATCTACATGGCCTCCCTCAGCTGCCTTTTGAATTATGACCTATCGTACACGTTCTACCCCCGCCGCACTCCTCTGCAGCACGAGGCTCCTCTGTGGATGGACCAGCTTTGCACAGGCTGCAGGAAGACACCTTTTCTGGAGGAGATGTCTCACATACGATGAGAGCTGTATTCTCTTTGGTGACTGTTAGGATTTCATATTAGGCCTGGTGAATACTTGAGATTGCCTGAGGATTTCTGTCATATAGCAGTGTTTATTTTTAGCCAAGAAGGTGCCGCACAACTCTCTCCACAGGATGAAGCATTCCTGTTCTACACAGTGACCCACTTCCCCAATGAATTCGCTAGAGGGTGCTGTAGATTTAGCTGCTGTCCAGGGAGTGTGTGATTCAGTTAAACATGTTGTGGTACAAAATTGACAGACACTCCGGTTGTTGCCTGAATCGAAGTGAAATGGAAATGCTGAACAATAATGAGCTACTATCGCACAATTTAAATAAATAAATAAGTAAAATCTTATATCATAATTATGTGTTGATGTCTCATTAAACTCTTACACTGTACTCATCACATTTTAATGTAATAATAGGAGAGTTAATGTGAAGCAAGTTACCTTTAAGATTACTGAATTATGTACAGCCTAGTATTGAGGCTAATCTTAATTATTAAATACATGTAGTGAGTCGTGCCCCATCCTCATTCACTGTTAAATTGTCTTCCATTTATTTGATTGGTCGTTTGGTTGCTAGGCAGCGCAGCATCCATTCAACCCCACTGTACTCAGCATCTCAGACTCATTCATGTCCAGACGCCTGCCTGAAGACACAGCAAAGGTACTGGAGGCTACTCCCTGCACTCTATAACCGTGTTTGGCAAAACGTTCGTATTGAGTTGTTATGTGTTGGCGTGTGTGTGTGTGTGTGTGTGTGTGTGTGTGTGTGTACACAGTAGTTGCGACTGAATTGAAATAGCTGGAAGAACGAGTTAAGCGTATTGGTCAAGTTTTGTAGGGCTGTCCCGCGCAGGAATTATTGGTGTGGCTGCTACTTAGCATTGTTGTAGGTTGTGGCCAGTATCGTTACACGGATGATTGTTGTTTGTGATTAAAACACATAGGCTACTGTAGGCTGTTGCTTACGGTGTGCGGGAAATTATTAATAAAGACGCATGAAATGATTTATTCATTGTTGCCTTCCATTTTCGTGCATGTTGTTTTAACTCAGTAAGTATGAGATCCAAAAGTTTGGTTTCAAGAGAGACGCCCTTACTATAAAGTTAGACTCGCATATCGTTTGCTGACATCAATGTCGATTGGGAAGTGGGATTTGTCTTTAAACGCTTAGCCCATGACATGGTTTATTTTTTTAAGATAAAACAGTGTTTCTAATATTTCCTGAGGAGAAAAACCTTTTCAATTTGGCTAGCATATTGGGATAATGTAGTGTCTGTCAGATGCCACTGCAGATGTATCACATGTGGGCATTTGTTCACCCCACTTTATCAATCCTAAATGTATTCAATTGCACCCTAAAGTTTTGCTGGGTAATGATTTACTGTTTTTGTCTCCATATTAGTCACATCTTGACAAAGCGGTCTTTGAGATGTTGAAGTTAACTGTTCTAATTTGTAATTGGAAATTCATAAATAGGACTCTTTTTCCCCCCTGAAAATGATAGGATTTTTCAAATATGGACACTCATTTGATTAAATACATTAAAGAGCCAACAGAATGTAAAGTATTAAATGATTAAATACATTATTAACATAATGTAATTTCATAATTGTTATGTCAAAACACCCCTTTTTCTGTTTTGAGTGTATAATGGTATTTTTTGCCTTCCCGCAGCTATGCTTTTTATTTAGGATTGATTGCATTTCTTTGTCACACCATTTGACATTCAGTGATTGACTGCACTTCAGCACTCCTGTTCAGGGTTTATAGATTTATGTGACATTTGATGACAGAATGACATTTTCTCTCAATTTGCTACGACTCCCTGTTTCCCCAGCAAAGCCCACAGAGTGTGTGTTGTTTGGCCCTCCTAGACTGCAGAAATGCTAGAATACAGGTCTCACCCATCTGATGTTTTGTTCCATTGTGGACTGTAAAAATTGATTTATTCACTGAAAAAGCAATGCGAGGCAATAACAGTATTACATTACCATGAAGGAGTATAGTATTTTAGGTTTTGTAATGAAACTACTTGAGGAAAAGTGAAGATTCAAAGAATCATCTGATATGAGTTTTCTTACAGTAGAAATTAGATCCATCTCATTTATTGACAATACTGTGTGTCTACGGTTATTGAGAGGTATGGTTCCATTGTGTTTATTAATGAGAAAAGGTCAGAAAGAGAGAGGCTATCAGTCCATTTTATGTGTTACAGTATATCTCTTGAAGTTCAATTTTAGTATTAGAGGGATTTTCCTGATTCCATCCATCCATCCATCGTCAACTGCTTACCCTGCGTACAGGGTCGCGGGGATTTTCCTGATACCAACATTCTTTTCTTTAAACTCTGATACCCAGTGCCAATACTGGTATCAGGGCATATTAATTTTTGGTGGCTGGTGATTATTTAACATAGTTTTGAGTTTAAACACACCTTAAAGTCAAGTGCTAGGAGACGTGTCTTTCCTGTCATTATTGAATGGTTCGTGTCATCTTTAGCGGTGCATCTGTGTATTTTCAGGGCTGTTTCAGTTCATGGGCGCCTGCCTTCAGTGAATAAGCCTGCAAAAGGACCAACTTTAAATGTATTAATGTATTCGGCATGAAAGCAAGAAAGCCTAAAGCCTCAATTTACTGAGAAGCATTTGAGTAGAACAACAATTCCTCTTTTTATTATAAACCTCAATATACATTTGCTTCAACTGATAGAGAAACTTGTCCCTAAAATTTGAAGATTTCACAGATTTCTGTTTTCTAAAATCAGCCCCTCCCTTGCCACAGAGGTTTACCCATTCTTGCAATGCTTAATGCTTCAGTGCATCCATCCTGGATTTTTTTAGCTACATTTGCAGTTCCATTGCTTCATCCTTTTCCTTTTATCTTTCTATCCCTCCACTTTTCCCCTTTCCATCCGACTCCTTCATTTTCTCACCTCTAAATCTCTCCATTCCTTTCCACATACAACCCTCCCATCCTTCATATCTTTATGCTTCCAGTTGGATGCCTCTGTGTCTGTCACTGTGCCGTGTACTCTCAGAGGTTTGTGTGCTCTGGCAGCCAGTCCCTCCACACAGCAGCCTCTTCTATTATTAAATGTAACAGGACCTTTACTTTCACAGCTGAGCAATGTTAGGATCTCTGCTCAGTGTAGGAAGATTTCTCTGTTGAAGATGATATTCCTATATCCCCATTGAATCTAAAACAATAGAAGTCCCACAGAGAAGACAGAGACTTACATGTTTTTTTTAATTATTCTTGTTCTTCTGCAAAAGCATTATAAAACCACAACATCTTTGCGAATTCATGAGGTTTGTATTCCTTTTGGCCAACCAATAAAGGAAAAGCAGATGGGCCCGGCTTGCTGGAATTGGAAACCTTAGTTTCAGCTATAACACACAGAGTTTGAGAGGTTGAGCAGTGGCGAGAGGCCTCAAGGCAGCAATTAATTGGCCCCCGCCAATGTCCTGAAGCAGGCAGTTTGAATTCACTGTTGTGTAATCATTAATCAGATCTCACATAATAAGCAATTAGTCTGTAATGAATAAGGTTAAATCACTGTTTGCTCAAATTTATTTTGTCTTTAGGGTGATATTCAATTCATATCATGTCACACGCATAGGATAACTGATTGATGTGTATTATTTATATTAGTATTAATCAGATATACAGTATGAATTTTACAATGGGAGGTGAAAATGCTAAATGAGATAAATCTTTAATTATGGACCTTCATTTGCAACAGTGACAACTGCATTTTACCACATATTTGCACAAGATTCCAAAGTCTACACCTATTGCAATTAATCGTCCATCTAAGGACTTAAAAGCAAAAATACACTAAATGGTGTAAATGGTAAAACAAAATGAATTAGAACTACTATGATTGACGTAATATGATGTGAACTATAAACAAATTGTGGCATGTTCATATAAATAAATATAGCAATGTTTACTATAAATGTTCCAGCAGCGTACAAACTGCACATTCAACATATTAAAAGACTGCTGGGAGTTCAGTCGGAGGGTCGGGTGTGTTACGCTATTGGTGGCCATGTATAATGTATGATGTATAATAAGAATATGGCACGGCGCTCAGCCTTGCTTCCAATTTTTCCCATTGGCCACTCGCAGCGATAAATTCCCCTGCTGCCCATAATGCATTTTCTCAATAAGCACCATTATGAAGGAGACATCTAAAACTGTAAACCTGGACACAACCTAAAAACAAGGCAAATTGTGACTCTTATTGTGATATTTTGATCCATGGAGGTTCTTATTTGTAAAAATTTACTTTTTAAATTTCCAGAAAAGTGACTTAAAAATCTATGACGTCATCACAATGTAAAATGGGCTGAGCAGAAACACGCAGACGAGGCCAGCGGGACAAACATTACTACACATATTCAGTGGGCTTTCTACCCCAAAAGTAAACCTGGAAGCTGTAAACTTTTTTTGGTGTACGCACCAGGCGAGCAATTCTTATTAGATGAATAGGCGCCATATTTGGGTCTGGTATCCACTTCTAATAATACATCCATGGTGGCAGCTAATGTAGCTTGAAGCCGCTAGCCAACAAGCAGAGATGATGAGCGGGCTTTAGATGTATGTTTGGCTCACTTCTTTCAAACTCCACAACCTCAGACTTTTCACAGCTCCCTCAGGAACAGCAAAAGGCTTTTTGCAACTTGTTTTCACATGTTCACAGAAGTACTTCCCAAGACCTGTAAACAGAAATAGATATGTAAAATAGGCGGAGTTCCCCTTTAAGCCTGTTTCAAAGAACAATAGTTGGTCTGAGCTTCAGTTCTGCAATATGCTAATAAATTTTGTATAATCTTTCCAGACCTTCACTACTGCTGTTTTTTCTGATTAAAGCATTATGGTGGCTGCACTGTGCTGAAATGCTGCAACAAGGCTGGTAACAGACAAGACCATATTTCTTTTTCGTGTCACTTCGCTAGATTCCTCTGTTCTTGTGACCTTAAAGTATAATTGATTACTTCCAAGGCTTTTCATGGGCTAGTCCATAACAATCTATCTTAATTCCTGGTGTACTGCATGAGCTGGGTTTTTTAACCAAATCATACATACAATTATCCAGCATATACGGACAATATTATCGTTTAAATCACTTACTTTTATTACTTAATTGTATTAGTCTATATTATCTCTTCTTTACTGTACTCTTTAGTCCATCTCTGCTCTTTCCAGTTGCTTTATGACTTGGCCCTTTAGCTGATTTTTGTCTGTTTTATTCACTTAAGCATATTATACACACAGCCTCAATTCTATATTAAAGACCCTCAGATTCCACACAAGCGTTGCCAGATTTCACATGGATTATTTATATGCTGG